TATAGGTTTAAGTCTAGCTAATGAAAATATGAGTACGCGACCCATATAAATATATATCGAAAAGGCTACGTGGCTTAGATCTACCGCACTACTATAGCCTCCCTAGTTTAATTAATCCGCAAGGAGTAATTGAACTCCCAACAATAGGTGCGGTGGCTCTCGTTCCTGTTGAACCTGATTAACCTGATCCCGATTAACCCTGATTAACTGAAAGCTAGCCAGTTTAATCAAAGGCCAACAGGATAAGTCAGGAAGAAACAGGTCAACTAGGCGATTATAACAGCAACAAGTGGGTGGTAGGGTGGGTAACTAACTGCAGCCGTGCCTAACTGTACCTGATCCTGAACCTGATTAATCCCGAACCTGTTTAATCGCTGCTAACTGGGAGCTGAGCCAGTTCAATTAACGATTAACAGGAAACAATAGGAAAGATCTAATAACAAGAACAACTGGGCTGGCGGAGCTGTAACCTATAAACTGACCTGATTAACCTGTTCCTGATCAACCCTGATTAACTGGGAGCAAGCCAGTTCCATTAAAGGCCATCAAGAAACAATAGGGATCAATAGTCAGGAAACAGGAACTGTAACGGGCAGGTAAAACAAGCGTAGCTCCCGTGAGAAACGAAGAAACAATCCCATGAAAAATCTGATGCAACGTAATCCCGTCCTTCTCGTCCATGGCTGTCTTTTGCCGATCCTTTTTAACTGATTCCTGATCCTGTAAACTAACTGATATATCCTGTTTATGCCCGTTTCTGTGACTCGTTTCTGGTGACCGTTCCTGTATTCGTCCGGCAGCATCTACCGGGCTTCCTTTGACCCTCGATCCCTCCCCTGTACGTGGTTCTAGGGGCTCTCTGGGCTCTTCCTACCAACTACATATCGGTAAGGGCGACAAGAGGGGTCTCTGGGTAATACTGTGACTATTCTCGACTGTGACTTGTGACTGTTTTTTTTTTCTGGGCTTTCTTGTTCAATATCCTGTTTAATTCGTATATCGCGGTATCGTTTGTATGGGTCTCTTGATCCTGATCGGTACGTCCCCGATCAGGCTTGTGGCGTGGGTATAAGGTATGTCGGTATCTTCGTGGTAATTAAGGGCATCGTGGCACCTATCGGTTAGGGAGGAGAAACCTCCCCAGGTGCCGTAACTGGCTGGAAGGGATAAAACAAGGGCGATCGGATGGCAAGCCTCTTGCAATTGAAATAGATCGATCGGTAAAAGAACGGATGCCTTCAAGCGCGTGTTGTAAAAAGGGGGTGGTGGCGGTGACTTGGTCAGATCAACTGAGGGCGAAAAACTGCCATCTAGGCACTGGTGAAAAACGACGGAGGCAAAACCAGACGAAAACGGGCATAGCTCCTTCAAAAGAGATAACTGAGAAACGAGGATAGGATAGATCCACTGATCGGCGAACGAGCTTTTAGGTAAGCTGATCAAAAGCTGATGGGAGGGCGTGGGTTGTTCAGATGGTCGCCATGGTTGTCTGCCCTCCCGTTGATCCTGATGCCTGACCTGAAAAGGCTTAATCCAAAAGCCACGAAAAACGGCTCTGGAGCCACGAAAACAGCTCCTGATCAACTGAAAAAACAGGGAATCTCCTGATCGTCGTATCCTGAACCTATTAACTGCAAAAACGGTCGATCAAAAGGTCGCTCCTAAGGCTGAGGTGAGGACGAGCTACTGGGTGGTCGCTACTGAATAGGAGCAGCGTAGGCACGCTAACGGAGGCACGAAATAAGGACTGCCTAACTGCTAATAACTGGCCTAGTGCCGATTAACTAAGATTATAGCTGTAAATAGCTATAATCGGTTGATCGGCTAGCTAAAAACGGTAGCTAGGAAAGGGAGCTAGGAAAGGCAAAGGAGGAAGATTAGAAAGGCATGGTAAGAAACGAGTAAATAGCTATAGGTCGTGATATCTATAGGTCTAAGTCTAGCTAATGAAAATATAAGTACGCGACCCATATAAATATATATCGAAAAGGCTACGTGGCTTAGATCTACCGTACCACTATAGTACGCCGCTTCTTCCTAACGTATAAAGATATCGCGACTTCCTTAGTAACTAGCGCCGTACCTTCCTTTAATCGCGACTTCTTATAACGCTTCCTTATTTACGAAATAAAATAACCTATTTCCTGCTATTAATTACTTTTACTATTTCCTTTCTTTTTTCCTTACGCCTTTTACCCTTCCTATAACTACGTAAGTTTAAACCTTTATATATAGCTAATTAAGCTTAAAACGAACGCTAACGATATTTCGTAGTCTTTTATTTAATGAAATAAGATTAAAGTAGTTAAAAAAAGTAAGAAATTTAATACGCGCGCGATAGATTTAGCTAATTAAAATAATATTTAGGATTTCGATTACCGAGCTCGTTAACCTAGGCCTCGATTAACTATCGGCTAGCGACGCCCGCCGCGTAGTTAATATTAATACTACGATAAGTAATACTAACGGCCTAACGGCCGCCGGCGGCGGTAGCGACCCTCCCCCTCCTAGTATACCTTATAAAGTAAGTTATACTTTACGAATTTTATGGTATAAAAAAAAATACGCGATTAAGTAATAATATACGTAGGCGTTAATTTTATTATATAGAATCTACCTATAAACCGAATCCGCTTCCTTATTAATAACGACGACGACGACGACGACGGTAGCGACGACGGTAGCGACGACGGTAGCGACGACGACGGCGACGAGGAAAAAGCGTTACCCTATAAGGTATACTTTAAACGAATTAATTAATTATAAGCGAACGCTTACGTAAAAAGAACCGGTATATAAAATAGCGTAAAAAACGCGAAAAGTTACGTATACGCGATAACTAATAAGTATAAAAGATAATCGCTACTATTATTATTATAAGGGCTACTACGTTTACGTTAAGGTACCCCGGGAGGCCGAGCTAAAGCTTATTAAATTTATAGAATTAAAAAAAGCTCTCGATTTTAAAAAAATTAATAAAAAGGTACGTTAATACGTAATAAAATACGCTAGCGTAGAAATTCTAATTTAAAGTAAGCTTTTAATAAAGTCTATAAGAAAACTAAAAAGGTAATCCGGAAGGCGGAAAAGCGGGTTATAAAGTAACAAGGATTAGATATTAACGCTCTTTCTAGTAACGAATTATTACGAGAAATCCTACGTATATTACGAAAAAAAAATACGGGTACGTAAAAAAAAGTAGAAAAGAAACGTAAAAAGAAATAATAAAGATATAAGTTTAAGGGTTTCGTAGTTTTATTAGGCATAGCGCCCTTTTTTAATATAGAAATTACGTACTTACGTAATTTTAACTTTAAAAAAATTTTTCTATACTAGATTTCTTTTATATTTTATTCTTCTTAAATTCGTTTTACTATATACGTTTTTTAACCTAAATAATATACGCTTTGCTTAATATAATATGCGTTAACGTAAAAATTTAAACTAGTTTCGAATTTATAAAAGATAGTTTCGTATAAACTATAAGTTTTTTATATATAATTTCTTGCGTTTTCTAGGTTTTCTATAATAAATAAAGTTCGTAGCTCTAAAAATTAGTATTAAATAAACTAAGTATACTTTCTATATCTCTCTATCCTCCGGATAGGTTATTATTTTTAGCGTTTACGTTAAAAATAAGCCCGAATTATTCTGCGAAGCAGAATAATTCGGGCCTTATTTTAGAGATATATGTATATATATGTGCCCCTATATGTGTGCCTGTGTGTGTATGTATGTATGCAGACGTATGTAGGTATGTAGGTAGGTATGTAGGTATGTAAACTAAGTCGATGCCCGTATGTGTCCATGTATATGTATAGAGGTCTAGGAGGTAGGAGGTAGACAGGCAACGTATAGGCGATGGCTTCCGGAGCCGAACCCTTCCCCCCCCTTCTCTCCACGCCCACTGCCGTCTCGTCTCCATCGCCGTCCTTCGACCTTTGGGCCGTTTCCAACGCGAGGCATTGCCAATAGCACCTCTCCACGTCGAACCAGCCCAATCAACACCGCAGCTATCGCCAGACCGTGCCCAGAGCCTAAGTGAGGCAGGCATGCTGACCCAGTCTGCTACCTCCCCGATAGGTAGGAATGGGTTGAGAGTGAGATGCTGCCTGGGTGCTTTACCACTTTGGGTTTGCACAGAACGGCAGACTCGGACCTCCTGGGCGGGCGAGAAGTCAGATTCGTCGGTAAAGTGGATGACACCGGGTCAAATCAGCAGTCGACCATATGAACACACACAAAATAAACAAATGATTCTCAGACCTTGCCATGAAGAGGGAAGGATTCAAGCGCGACTTTATCCCGGTGTAAGCAGCAGGGCACTGCGCTTGTACGGCATCTTAGTCATACAGACCGCAGGCGAAGACAACCGGGAGGTAGCCAAAACTGCTATTATGTCAGCACTCCTGTCTTAGTCTGGTGTTCTTCTCAGAGAGTCTCGCGTGTACCATCTGACAAGGAGTAAGTCAAGCTTGTCTCCCACAGGCGCAAATAGTGTCATCTAGTTATGCAGCCTTACTGCCTTACAAGATCCCGTCTAACTGGTTAACCGGCCAGCACGTGGGCTCATCTGATTTTCTGCTTTTCCCCTACGGCCTGCCATCTCCTTCCAGCGAGTGCCTCCGCGGCGCTGCCTGAGCTCAACTACCGTATCCACTTCACACCTACTCTACACCATATTAGTAATAATCTATAAGAGAACAGGACAGGGTTAGCTTAAAGCGACAGCAACGCTTCCGGCACCAAGAGCAGGAACTCGATAACGCGAAGAATAATCAATCTTGTTAAGCAGCAAACCAGACGACCTAGAGATGCGGACTGTGTGACCTAACTCTGATAAACAGCGGGAACCGATGCCTACCCCCTTTCCTACCCAAAACGCCACGCCGATGCAGTCCATGATTGTAGCCCCGCCCGGTCTAAGCCCGGGGCGACTCCAAAAAGAGAGAAAGAGCAAAGACTACCAGTATATGCAGCATGCAATGCAATATGCAATATGGAACACCCTGTCCCAAGCAACAGGACAACTTCACGGGAGAACCCAAAACGGAGAAGAAAGCAGAGAAACAGACGGAAGCGAAGATACCGCGACGCCTCAATATGCACGGGCGGCGCTCATCAAGCCCTCGTACGCACGATCGACCGCGCGACCGCCCATCCCGGGGACGGTTCGTAGATGCGCTAGGGAACCGATAGGGCCGCAGTCCTCCTCCTCCAAGAACGCTACGAGATCCCGGGCCTTCTTGGGCCCGAATCCCTGCAGGCTCATGATCGTGTCCACGTCCCGCGAGTTGACGATGGCCAGGAGGCTCTGGACCACGGGTCCCCGCTCGTCAATCGCCGCGCTCGACTTCTTCGGGGACAACCTCGCCGCTGCGGCTGCGGCGCCGCCCCTCGACTTCTTGGTACCTTTCTTGCGATCCTTGCTGGTGAGATCCTCCTCGTCATCGTCCGCCTCCGCGCCGTTGTAGTCGTCGTCCTCGTCAACCGACGCGGGCCGGGAAGAGGGCTTTCTGGACTTCCTCGCGGCCGTCACTGGACGCTCGTCGACATCCTCTCCTAGGCCGCTGTCGTGCGTCGTCGTATCCTTGCCATGGCGTTTCGCCTCCAACCGGGCCTTCAGCTTCTCCATCTTCGCGATGAGCTTCGCCTGCCCGGGGAAGTAGGGCAGCGCCATCTCGTACATCTTAAGCGCGCTGGCGTCCTCACCGCGCTCCTTGTGCTGCCGCGCCATGAGAAGGAAGCGTAAGCCGTCGGAGCGGGAGTCATCGTGACGACCGTCCTCTATGCGTTTCTCCAGCGCCTCGAGGCGCTTCTGCACCTCTTCGTTGATCTCGGGAAGCGCCTCGGCTCGACTGCGCGACGCTAGGATCTCGCTCACTTTTTTCTCTACCATGGCCTCGATCAGATCGGCGGATATGGCCGGCTGGATGGGTTGAGCTGATTGAGCTGGCTGGGATGGCTTCAATGCGCGAGGAACTTGCGACGGCCGAGGAATCTCTGGTCGCGTGATCTTGGTTGGCCGCGCACCACTATCAGAGTCGGAAGGACGCTTGTGAGAGGGCGATGACCGCTTCACCGAAGTGTTTGCGGGTCGCGATATAGGCTGGGGCTTCGCTCGATCGGCATAGACGTTGAACGCCTTCACCGGGCGATCCGCAGGCTTGTCCGCAGCTTTGCTCGCCGCGGCCCCCGAATGAATGTTATGCGCATTTGCGAGGGGCCGGAGGGGTTGGCGGGACATGCCCACTGTGGAGCTAGAGTTGGTACGCGGGGGTTGCTTAAAAACGACCTCGTTCTCAATCTCGCGGACCTCGATGCGCTTGGCTCGCGAACTGACATTCAAACTACTGAGGGTGTCGAGGTGGTAACTCCGAATCGGCGCGAGATTCAAGATCATGATGGTAATCCCGTTGTTCTGCCCGAGCGAGAGAATCCGCGTCATCTTGGACTCGCGGAACGGTATGCGGCGATCCCCCCTCGAAATGGCATCGATGCATTGGCTCAACACGAACAGGCTCTTGTTGATGGCTGCGGATTCAACTAGTCGCTCCTTGCCGTTCTCGGTCCGACGGTTGTCTTCGGAGCCGGCAAGGTCGATGGCCGACGCCGTGCTCTCCCGGATCATATCCCCGGTGGTCTGCGTTAGCTTGACCCGCAAGATAGCGTGACTCCGGCTGCTGTGAGCGTTAAGCTTTGTAGCGGCCGTGATGCGGTTGTTGTTGGCCTCGATGTACAGCCGCTCAAAGTCCTTGAGGTCTTGGCAAGGGCGCTCGGACAGCCCTGCCACGACAGTCTTGCCGTTAGCCTCTGCGCGGAGAGGCAGACCCGAAGGCGTCCGTTTCTCGGGGGGCTCGAGGAGATCAAAGACCTTGTCATTGTAGATTTCGTAGTACGAGAGGGCAACATCGACGGCTGTTTCCCCGTCGGAGTCCTTAGCTATCTTCTTAGCTCTGCGGAAAACGCCGCTGAGGAGTCGAGGTATGACTCCACGGTCGGCCAGCTTCAATCCACCGCGCATCGTATGGGTCTTGCCCGTTCCGGTCACGCCATAGGCGAATATGGTGACATCGAGGCCTTGAAAGAGAGACTTAAGGTGAGGAGCAACTGTGACGACAGGCCGAGATTAGCCACCAGCTGCCCACGTCTCCTCTCGAGGATGTTAGGTAGATGATGTGGTACAGCATCACGTACCTTCGGCCGAGAACAGCTCCTCCTGAGTAGTGCCTTGATCATAGACACCATTGAAGGTGAAGGAGAACTCCTCGCTCTCGTTCTTGGGGCTTGGGATCTTGACCACGTTGCTGATCTTGCCATCGTCGTTGCTGGCGGGACGGACGATGATGTCCTTGTCGAGCTCCTTGTCGAGCAGCGGTCGGATCCGCGCAACCACTCTCACGGACATGCTGCTTGGCCGAGTTTGACGGAACGAATGACAAGATCAGAAGAGCGATAGCAACGTCAAGAGTGGCAGAGAGGACAAAGACGACGGCGGCAGTAGAGAAAGGCACAGTAGAGATAATGGGGACATACAAATGGCTACTAGCGAAAAAGAATAAGTCGAGCAGGAGTGGGCGTGGGCGTTGGTGGCCGGGTGGATTAATTGGCAGTGTTATTAGGAGGGAGACCAGCTGGGTGCAATTGGCCAACGGGACAGCAGATCAGGGGGCGATAAGTGGGCCTCAGTGGAGCCGCCGTTGTAAGGGAGCAACGACCAGCAAACCAGGCAAGCGCGTCACCGCCGCGTCCTGCAGGCACGACCCTGGGCTGGGTACTTGCGTAGCGGTGCGTAGCAGGCGGCGTCTCAGGTACCGCAAAGGTACTTCCTACGCGAGGGCGCCCTGAGGCAGCTTAGCTAAGGAATCCGCACTAATTCGCGAATTAGCATGCGCCAATGCGCCAAGCCATCTTGATTACCTAAAGATACCTAGATACATATTTTCATAGGCAGGAGGTATGCAGGTAAGGGGGGGTTGAGTCGCGAAAAGGGGGGCCGGGAACGAGAAGGAAAAAAAAGAGAATCAAAAAAAGGAAAGAAAAAAAGAAGAAAAGAGTCGGTGAAGTACAGAGTACACACATGCATGCATACAGCGAGGCGACAAGACCAACTTACATGTTCCTGTGGGGAGGTTGCAGCATGTATGAGTACGTGTAGGGGCATACATGCCGGTGTGTATATTCCGTGGATATATTCCGTGTATATATGTAATGTAGGCGAGCATGCGCATACGAAACCGGTGCGGTAACACACGCAAGCGAGGTAGAGACAGGGAAGAAACCGGTATTGAGCGGTGGCTTGGGGGCCCTCGGGTTGCTTAATACTCCCAGGCGCTGTGCAGAGGAGACAGGCTCACGCACTCACCTAATCACACACACACACACACACACATCTATACTCGACGTCCCCTCCGGTAGAACCAATAGCACAAGGCCACAAGTCTCCCAGAACGCGCCCTATCTCTCTAGGTGCCGTAGTTTCGGCGATTACGCCTCTTCGATTCCAAGATCTGCATCCTAATCTCGCCCGTCGCGGTCGTTGCTGCCGCCACCGCCAACGAGAGCAGCACATGGTTGTTGAGGGAGTGGGAACAGCGAATTCGCTCCCCAGCTCGGCCGGCCCACCGCTATTTACCTACCACGGTACAGCCACCAGCTTGACGATATAGGCAGGTAATGTATGTGTGCGTGTATGCACGTACGTACGTACGTACGGCCCATCGTTCGGGGCTTTCACAGCGCCCCAGCAGGCCATCTCTGACGCAATAGCGTTGGGGGGCTTCGTGTCCTCGCAGATGTAGTGCATACATGCCTACCTACCTAACACGCAACATGCCCTCCCAGGCTACGCTAGGCAGTCCATCAGCGCCAGTCGATGCCTCCGCACGTACGTCTACACGATAGGTATGCGTCTATGGACGTGTACAGCAGCAGATCGTGGAGTTGTGCCCAGCAACCTACGCAAATCCACAACCCCTCCTAACTTATCCGAACTGGGGGAGGATCCGCTGGGTTTCGTCCAGAAGCGATGGAAGCCCGAGGGGTGCTGCGTAGTAGCCCAACTACTGCTACGGCAGTTGTCGAAGTGCCTCTGTCGTCTGACCTCGTCCCGGGTAGAGTAGGCGAGGTGAGGCTAGCCACATGTTCGCCATCGCTGATGTAGTCGATGCACAGACTCGTGTATTAGCCCCAGGATCAAGGGAAGACGAGCCAGATCCTGTTACCCATCGAAGATCGAAGGGGCCTTTGCGTGTGGGTATGCCCGCCCCGGGCCATCACGAAATGCTGCTAACCTATCTTCCTACATACTTGCTCAGGCGCACGTATGCACATGGAGAGGGGCGACTATACGATCCTGCCATGCTCCCCGGCCAGTCATTGCCATGTGTATGGTGTATACACACATATCTCCCGGAGTCTCCGTCTCGTAAGATCACCGTGGGGTCTTCTCTCCCTGCCCCCCCCCCCCAGAGAGGTCGCGAACGGCATATACAGACGTACACATAAGCTCGCCGGCTTTAATCGCACATCCGCACCAACCGACGGTGATCATTGTGCGCCAATCTATATCTAGCCAAGCATGCTTGACATGTACATCCAGCATGTCGTGTCCTATAACGAAAGCTGGTATATGCAGAATAGTTCCACCGACACGTGCCCAATTATTACAACTATGATAAGGAATACCGTCTATGCTGAAAGAGGGGGGTATATGCAACAACTTCCCATATGCTGTCTATACGTAAAATAGCAATCCAAGGGCAAAAGGGGGGGCCGTGGGGCTATACTCTGTCAAATGCTGCGAGACGCCCATATGGCCCCCATCTAACTCGACCGTCCTGTACCGTGTCTAACCGGTCCTATAATCCTCTCTCTCGATCTCTCCTTTTGATTTTTCGCTCTCGCTAATAAAATAGATCCGCCGTCTTGCTCCGCCGAAGTCCAAGCTGGCCAGCCGGGAGAAAGGGGGGTGATACATAAACAGGCAGGCAAGCGTACGGCGGGCAGACTGAAGGCTTTCCCTCTGCCCCCTCCCCTTCCTCAGACCTTGGCGAGGTGGAGGCCGACCTGCATGGTGCGCGCGACGGCGAAGGCGAAGGTGGCGGCGATCATGGTGCAGCCGCAGAAGAGCTGGAGGCCGAGGAAGTCGCCGTGCTGAGCGCTGACGATAGCGCCGCCGATGGGGCTGCCGGTGAGGGCGCCGAAAGCGAAGAAGAGGAACGCGATGCCCGAGCGTGTGCCGATCTCGCGCAGGTCGCTAATCTGCGCGACCAGCGCCGGCATCAGCGAGATGAAGCCCCCCGACGAGAATCCGAACACCGCCCCGTACGTGACCGTCGCCGCCATCGACCGCCCCGGCACCCACAGCCCCAGCGTGATCACCGCCGACAGCCCCGAGATCACGATCATCATGTTGAACCGCCCGAACCGGTCGCCCAGGAAGCCCGGCACGATACGCCCCACGATGCTGCGCGAAAGAAACCCCGGTCAGCTACCGCAGTCTGTAAATACGACAGGGGGATATAAAGCGAGAAAGGCGGGTAGTGGCCTAACAGAGAGCAAACGTACCTGACGGCGTTGAGGATGGGTATCAAGTAGGGCACGATGACCGGGTTGATGTTCTGCTGCTCGGCCTGGAGCTGGATGTAGTTGAAGGGGAGGAAGATGCCCCAGAAGGCGAAGAAGCCGGCGACGGTGAGGGCGAGGAACGTGGGCTCGCGGAGGGGGCGGAGGTACTCGGCGAGGACGAAGGGGCGGGTGCGCGGAGGCAGGCGGGTCTTGACGGTGAGGCAGGCGAAGGTGCAGAGGGCGAGCAGGAGGAAGGCGACGGCGCGCACCGTCCACGGGAAGCCGACGTCGCGGATCAGGTGCTCCATCATGATGGGCAGCACGGTGCCGCCGAGAGACGACCCCGCCACCACGATGCCCAGCGCCGCTGCCCGCCGCCGGAAGAACCACCCCAGCACCGAGTTCATCGCCGCGTTGAATACCGCGCTCATCCCGACCGCGCTCACGATCCCCTGCGACAGGATGATCTGGTAGTACTCGGTCGACAGCGACAGCATCATCAGCCCAAAAATGAACACCAGCGTGCCTATTATAAGCAAGTATCTCGGCCCGTAGCTGTCGAAGAGCCGGCCCATCTGTACAAGCGCAGAGCAGGGAAAGTGTCAGCTACTATCTCTCGACTAAGCACGCCTCCGCCCCCCTTAGCCCCCTCAGAGAGGAGTCTGGGGACGGATTCTTTGAGGTGGGCGGAGGAAGGGGGGGGAGGCATCTCCACTCACGATCGCGTTCAAGCCCGTCATCATGAAGATCTGGACGCTGGTAATCCAGGTGATGGTGGAGGGGCTGTACTCGGCGAGGGGGCCGCGGACGTAGAAGCGGACGAAGACGCCGACGCAGTTGACGAGGCCGAAGGTGCTGAACAGGGCGCAGAAGCCGCCGGCGACCACGAGCCAGGCCTCGAGGCCGCCGTCGGGGAAGTCAGCCGGGTTGAAGCCCGGCGGCGCGCCCGCGGGCGGCACCACCCCGCCCTTCTCCATGTCCGCCTCGATCACGCTCTCCGGCTCCGGGAAAATGTTCGCGTTCGTCGAGCCCGTCTGCGACGGCACCCGCTCGATCACCGCCGACGACCGCCGCGACGCGTACGGGCTCGGGTCCTTGGTCGACGGAGCGGCCCCGTGGCCGTGGCCGTGGCCGGGGGACGGATGCGAAGCGGTATTCATCGTGGACGACTCTGAGTCGTATCCATGCGTCGCGTTGTTGTTGTCGTTGTTGTTGCTCGACAGATGGGCCGGCTGGGGCGTATGGTGGGAGCCTACTGTCATGTCGTCTGTTTCCTTCTATACCTTGGGTATCCTCTTCTTCCCTTTCCTAGTAAAAAGTTTTTTTCTTCTATTAAAAAAAAAACCTTGGACGGTGGTGGAGACGCCAGTCGTGGGAAGAGGAAAATTGGGCAAACAGAGGGCGCACGGGCAGGTTTGATGTGAGCAGCGGCGTATAAGTGAATACTAACACCAAGTACTAGAGAACACCCAAAGACTGTGTCTCACGTAAATACGAGGAGACGCCTCAGACCTGAGACAACTGTGTTAGGCGTTATCAGATTAAAAGTAAAATAAAATAAAAACAGACGAAGATCGTGCCAGGGGTAGCTGGAGATCCGGCTAAGATCGCATGCGTTAGTGAGGCTCGTCCGGTGTCATATTATATGAAATTATGGCCGAGAGGTTGTGACGAGTCCGAATGCCGGGTCGGGGTAGGAGCTCGGGGTAGGAGCTCGGGGTTATCAAGTCGCGACAAGGGGTTCACTCACGTACACGGCGCCCCCGCCTCCAATCCTGCCCGTTTGTCTGCCTGGATCGTTGGCGCGGAGAGAATCCCATACAGTATTTACGTGATCGTCCCACCGGGCTTGCGTGTGCATACCTATGGCACATACGACGCTGGGGGGACCTTTATCGCGTATCCATTCCTACCATCCATCCATCCATGTAGACTTGCGCCTCCAGCGCTGAGTTGCAAACGGAGGCGTCGAATCACGAACCATGCCTACCTCGCCTGTCTAAAGGCCCGGTCCGTGCGATGGCTGCGAGTTCGGATCGTGGTGGTGCACGTACAATAAGCCGGCAATATGACTAGGGTTAAAGGGGGGCAGAGGGTAGGATGACAGATGACACGCCCTTAGGGTTGACATAAGTAGACATGCATACTACCTACCTAACGGCATGGCTCTTTAGTATATGCAGATAAACACTCAAGCCACCATGTATTTCATCTATATACATCGAGGGAGTAAGGTGAGGTAGAGAAGAAGTGATGGGGGTGAGCGAGATAAGTCCCGCGACAAGCTACCGATCTTACTCATACTTCGCCGCCTTTGTTGACTATATTGACTATATTGACGAGACAATGACAGAACAAACGACGAGCTCTACACGTATACCATGTACCTACCTGCCTACCTATCTACCTAAATATTCTACCGGGTATTACTCCCGAGCCGAGTCGGGGATGATACTCGGCAGACCGGCCGATGCTGCCCCATGCAAAGCTCCCAGTTCGGCCCTCCAGCTGAAAGCGCGAAGAGGCGAAGAAGCGAGCAGGCCTACCTGTGGCTGGAGCGCATACTTGCAAGGAACAGGTAATTAGGATAAGGCGTAGCGCTGCCCACAGCATAGTAGTGTCGCAATAGTTGCCTGTTCCTCTCGTCCTCTCTTTTTCTCCAACTCCAACTCTGGAGTGCCCTGACGTCTTGGGGATATTAGATAGCGCGATCACGCTTGGTCAGCAAGTAAGCCAGCCAGCCGACCCCTGGGAGACGTGTTTATCGGTAGATAGTGCCCTCCTCTTATATATGCACATAAAGATGAAGGCGGCGCGCGGCCGTGAATAGGAAGCCGTTGGGGTACTCCAAGCCCTTCCCTGCTAAGCATCAAGGATATTAAGCGTGACCGGGCTACACAAGAGCGGTTGCGTGTGATAACAATACTCAATCAAACTTGCATCTGGTCATACCTACAGCTGTAGCCGTAATCTTGGGTTCCTCTACATATGCCTGCCTAGGTAGTCTTTCTATCTACAAGGCGCCTATACATTGGCTTCTTCCCCATTGCCAAACCCCGGGGATTCTCCTCCCGCTCCCCTTAACCCCTCTTAACTCCGCAGCAGTCTAGGGTGTTGACCCGCAGAAGCAGCACCTAACGAGGTAGCCTCAGAGACCCACGATCTAAATAATGCTCCGAATTAATCTATCGAGCTCCTAGTGACATTGCAGTGGGCCTGCGTCGTGTTCCGCGACAGCTCCCAAGGGCCCGAGACCTGGTTGCACCGTCGTCTACATGTCTCCGTATCCCCGGGTCTCCGCAGGGGGACTGTAGCCCGATCTGGCATGTCCCGCGCCGAGTTTGGTATCTCTGTTGATACGGCGGGGTGAAGTAGGGTATTTAGAACAATTGTTTCCTTCTACAACGGTGGCCGGCCTAGAATGTTATTATGTGGGATATGTTACCGTCGTCATTGTCGTCGTCGTCGCCGCCGCCGCCGAACTCTCTCCGCACACGTACATGGCACACAGGCGCCGGGCAGTACTGGCAGTCAACCGTTTGGGGCCGCAATCTGTCGGCGACCAAGAGGTCGATCGGCCGACACGCGCACAGAATGGCACCACCTTACTAATTCCCTGCTCCTAGCTATACGGCCAGTTCGCCTAGATGACTCTAGCTCCGTCTTGTCGTGCCCCCGGCCTGACCCTTCCGCGTGGCTCGTCCGTTACGCCGAGCTTGGACATCGGGGACGGTCGAGGGGTCGGTCATGACACACCGCATGAACACCGACTTTGACAATTCCAGCCGGCTCGGACGCATAGATGTGGCCCAGGGTCTTCCGCCTCGCCCTGACACACGATGCTGGAAGCACGAGGAACAACAGGGGTGTCTTGACGTCGACAGAACTGGAACGAAGAATGAGGACGTGTTGGTGGTATCGTAGACAAGAGGGGTGTGGAGCCGGCCAGCTTCTAGCCAGGTAGCTCGCCGACATGACCGCCTGCGCGTAGCATATTATCATACATCTCTATATATATACTCTAGCTCTTAAGCGAGAGGGGCGAGTCTTATCCCCTATATGCCACATGCTTTTTTTCTTTCCCCTTTTCTATTCCCTAGTCGTAATGCGACGTGCTGCTGCGCTCCTCCCTCACTTCTCAAACTCCTTGAGGCTCTTCGCGTCTTCGAAGTGCGCCTTTCCGTCCTCGCCGATGCTAGCCACGCTTATCTTGACCGCCGTGGCGGCGTTCGACATCGGGGGCTCGGCTTCGCGGGACGCCGGGTTCGGGTTCGTCTTCAGCTCGACGGCTGCCGGTGCCACGCCGGGAGAGGCGTCGGCGAGCTCGTTGACCTCTGCGCTCGACAGCACGTCGCTGATGCGGGTGCCGCGGCTCGACAGGAGGAGCGTCGTGGGGCCGCGGAACTGCAGGAAAAGGCGGTCGCCCCATATCGTGCGCCGCGCCGTCGTGCGCAGCCCGAAGAGGGCCCGCGCGGCGAACTTGTAGGCCTCGGTACCGCGCATCGTCTGCAGGAACTTGGCGTCGCCGAGCCACGCCGTGATCGACGGCACCTGGAACCGGATCCCCGTGCTCTTGAACCGGAACGGTAGCGGCGGGTGCTTCGTAATGGTGTAGGCGACGACGTTCGCCGGGTGGGCGACGAACTCCTCGCCCTCCGCCAACGTGAGCTGGTATATGTGGCCCGGCGCGGAGAGCGCGGCAAGCCCTCGGCCGGTCACCTCAGAGGATCCCCAGCGCGCGAGAGGGAGCTGGTGTTGGAGGCGAGCCGTGACCGTTAGCGAATGTCCGGTCCATGCGAGCAGGGCTGATCGTTGTGCTATCATCCAATCCGTCGTTCCGTCGAGATGTAGGACGTAGAAGGTGGTCGTAGGCGACTTGGTCGATATTAATGCGGTGAGCGGCGTTGTCGAGGTAATGCGTTGGTAGAGGAATGGCACGCCTGTGACGGCTCGAATGAAGGGAGAGAGCAAGGAGAGAGTGGACGAGGCCTGCATCGGTCAGTCCACGGAATCTGTCGGGTGGTGCTGCCTGCCATCTCACGTTCTGCGCTTTGCCCGATACCGCGACTAGAGTGCCGCGCCGGGTGTAGAGTCGCTGCGAGGCGGATAAAGAGACGGAGAGGAGGGAATATGGCGCGCCGAGCACCTCGAATCGCGCATCTAGTACACAACACATGAACACTCCCGTCCAAAAAGGCCGGCGGGCAGGCCGCTATACGCATCTAGACGGACCTGAGACATCTTTGAACGCGCCGGGCGACGTGCCGAAGGCGTCTCGCACATGAGGGGACTCGGTCGTGGGGGATGAGCTGATCTGGATAGCTCTACATTGGCGACAAATGTAGCCTGTCCGACGCGCCAATTGACCTGGGCGACCTCTTCCGACAGAGAGGGAGAGGCCACGCATGGTGGCGGCCCGCGAGAAGAGCAGGGAGAGACGGAGGGCGGGAAGAGTGGGAGTTATGACCCTCGCTGAGGAGCTTTGCTTCATGCGTAATGATCTTGGATTGAAGGAGAAAAGACCATGCATAGGCCTTTCCTACCCGACTCTCTGATAGTTACATATACCACTGGTGCGTAAGTAATTGGCGGGGAAGTATGATACTATCGGGGTTATCGATATAACAAGATACTTAGTCATTCAAAGGTGGACTTGCCTAGGGTACCTAAGCTGATCTGATAATGCAAGCCAACAAGACGCGGCGTCGGGTCCTCGAGAGTGATCCTCATGACGCCTACTCCATCTTCCTTGTTGCGTCTCCTCTCAAAGAGCACATGCTACTGTATATAGAAACTAGGTCATCCATCAACTCGCAGTAGGCATGCAGTACCTATCTACTTGATCGTAACAAAGACAATCGAGATGTCCTTTACGGAATCTAGGTTCACTGATGCCTTGCCGTTTATCGTTCACCGAGCGGCGATGCGGAGACGGCAACCTTGAAAGAGCAGGAAACAAAGGCTGAGACTTGTATAAGAGGCTCTCGGGAACCACATGGTTCCCCGCATATGATTGTGCTTTTTACCTCAGACAGTCGAAGATATCTAACTCTAACGTAACCTACGTACCTACATTGTTGACGAACCGACGAACGCGCGAACCATGAAATCGAACATCAAGTTCACCGTATACACATTGACTTCGCTTGCGAGCGAAGTCTTGGCATAGAGACGGGATACGATCGACTCAGATTGGTCTCGGATCGGGTCCACTGAATCTCAGCGCCCCTGCTTAGCTTGGGCCGATGTCTACGCGAGAATGCATAAGGCGTCGGAGGCGTTATTACCGTACCCCGGGCCGATCTACAAGGATAGATCGGCTCCTCCGGGAGCTGAGTATCTACCTTGAGTTACTACGGTTGGCCAATGCGTGGAATTCTTCCTCTGGTCTTGTTGGTACACAACGTAGGTTTCTCCTATTATAGGCTTCCACGGAGGTATTCAGCACGGCTAACGATATCAACTAGAATACTCTCTAAGTAGGAACCTAAGGGCATATAGCTAAGCAGAAGAGGCACCGGCGTGTTTTGAAGCACCCATCTCGAAACCTGGTCTCATACCTAGATATTACGCTGTGGACATCTTCTAGTTCGTTAGTGGCGGACCTTTTGGTCCTGGTTAGTCGCAGTTTTGAAGGACGTATACAGGTCCCTGGTTTTACTACAGCGGGATTCGAACCTACTTAAATGGCGGCATCATGCAGGAACCATAGACAGCCAAGCGGTATACCACTGCTCCATGTGGGAAAAAGAACGGGGTTTGGCAGGGGATTGAACCCGGGACCTATTGCATATTTTTGCATAGATTTTCCCTAAGCGAGAATCATACTACGAAACCACCAAACTATTTCGTGGCACAAGTTGTGCTGTGAGCAAATATCGTACTGGTATTATGCCGGCGGAGAAAGAGAAAGAGGGAAGGGGGAGCAATAAATACTTGGGCGTCAGTGAATAGCGTCGGAGTTGCGTGAACGTCCCTTTCATGTAGTATTAGAGCATAAGGGGTCGTAACAAGTACAGCCTTATCTAACTTACTCGTCGCGAATTATTAACATACTATTAAGTATTTGTCACGTAGAGAGCCACCTATACATGGCTCCCTACTTCTTCTCTGGTTGCTCGCTGACCTAACCTAGCTCCCAGCTCGCTTATGTAACATAGCTCGCAGCTCCCTATCGTCTATATATAGGCAGCTCGCATCTCCTTTGTTCATCTCCTTCCTTCTTAGATAGTCAGTCAATTCACTCTCTTCTTCCCACTTTCCGTTGCTCCCAAGAAGCAACCTCAGTGCCTACGTAGCTCTCCCGATCTACGTAATAGATCATATATCCCTATAGCTATTAAGCTACCTAGGGTAGCATTTTGCTTGCCACGTGCCTTTAGATTTAGATCTCAGCTATTTCTATCCTCTTCACATTCTATCCTGACTTCATATTATTCTCTATACGGCTGCTCCTGCCCTCGGACAAAAGGGATTCGATAGGTCATATGTTTCGGAAGTGCCTTTAAGGCAACCTGACTAATACCGACCTTCCCATCCTCAAAGAAGAAGCAACTTAGCAAGGTCGCAAGTATAACAACATCCTGGACCAGGTTAATGCGCTTTTCCAGTAGCATTCGAATATATTCGGGCATTCCGTCGAATAATTCCGTCCAAAAGCCTCTTTCCGCAACCTCGAATTCATCCGGCATCCAGAACTCGCCTCCGGTATATTCACCGGCAATGGTATGGATACGGCCAAAGCCGGCCCCGAAAGGCAGCGGAGTAGATAATTCCCAGTCGACCAAAGCAGTAACCTCGCATTTCTCGTTGATGAGTACGTTTACGTCGTTAAGGTCGTAATGGGAAACCCATAGCGGGAGCTGGGCAAACTCATCAAGCCTCTTAGCGAAGCTCTCAATAGTCGCTTTATAGGGGAGGATATCTTTTAACGGCGACGCTAAGATGGCGTCTAGGTGCGGTCGAAGCTTAGTTTCGATAGCTTCATGACTGTTGTCGGCGAGAAAGCCCTTCGAAAAGACGCGGCCTAATGACTTATTGACGGCAATACGTCCTTCGGCTCCCTTTCCAGCGACTCCACGGTGCCATATCGTGCCGGGCATAAGGGTAAGGAAGTAAGCCCAGGCACCGGCGCTCTCTAACTCTTCATTGCCGAGAGCTTCAGCATCTGGGACAAACGAACCCAGCGCTACCTTGGCGATCTTGAACGCGTTAACGTCAAGCGGTTCGGTACGAAATTGTACAACTACCTCACGGCTATCAGCGAGGGTAACGAATAGGGTCCTGCTGAACATTCCCTGCATAGGAGGCTTATCAATGCGCGTTGCGGCACTGTTCAGATGCTCGGCGACTAATTTCTTTGCCCATTTGACCTGCTTCGCGGGGGTGTCGAGTAACTTGGGTAAATCCTTATCGGCGGTAACCATCGGCATTGTGGAGAGGATGTAGACGAAGAAAAATGGAGGCGGAGACAGTTGCGCAGGTGCAGCCACGGGCTTATATATGGCGATGTCGTGTGGACGGGATGGAAGTCAGAAGGCGGAGAGGATTTGAAGGCAGAGCGGCAAGACGCGGGGCGCGAGATGTATGTACACTCGGTAGTGTAGATATGGGCTTCCGTACACCTCTGCATCGGCGTTATGCCCGGGGGGGGGGGGGGGCAGATCTGCATGCAGCCTGATTGGGTGAGTCATCTAGCCCCGCTGGTAAGTACCACGAGACACCTCATCATGAACGGCGGCGTTTCCAAGGCGCAGACCCGCCAGTCTCGCCTAAAACCATCCAAGGCCTCGGAAGGGAAGCTGGTGGGCGCTGTTGCAAGGAAGCGTGCAGGTAAGCATGCCGGCAATGCCCTCGTCTGCGGAAAGTGGAAAGACGTGTTACCTCGGGCACAGGACGTTCGCAGAGCTCTAGAGAACAGTCTCCAGTGACAGGAGATATCGCACGAGACACGCCGTTGTATATGAAAAGGCGGCGCGACGCGACTTCTGGGGCCGACTGGTTACCGACGAAGAAAGCTCGATTGACTGGGGCAGACACGCAACTGTCCGGAGCTGAGGACGAGAAAGCAGAACAGGCGGCTAAGATATGATATCGTCCGCTCACACAAGTCACCAGCTAATGGAGGAGCTCGTGCAGACGACTCTACAACAGCCAAAGCCTAAGCCTTCCAAGCGCCTATACGTCTCATCCCTCGACCGCAAGGTCCAGGGGCCAGAATCCATGATTAAGTCGTCAACAACGAAGACGAAGCTGGCTACGAAATAGTCCAGCAACCCTGCGAGCCTACGCCTCCGACTTCGTCCAAACTAGAGCGCCTGTCCAAACATGACAAGACCTCAAGCTCCCCGTCTTCGTCCTCGAAGTCGCTCCCACCTGTGAGTGACTGCGGTAGTGGTGGCATTGCTCAGAAACGAAAAGCCTCATTATCGGAGGGATCCTCCCATAGGTCATCCAAACCAACGAGCAAAGGAAAGGACTATTGGGAGCAGGAGGCTGAAAGCGGGCGCTACTTCCACGAACACTCAGATGGCAGGATCACTTGGGCTGAGTGAAGATCACCTGGAGCAACAGTCGTGATGCTTGATTAGGGAAAACACGAGCGTCTGGCGCGGATTAGGGACGCCTTGGACATCATCTTTAATGAAAACAAGAAGAGCGCTTCCGAGGCGGCGAAGTCTCGCCCACCACCATCTGATCGCAATGAGCCGCCGAGGGTTCTCTCTAGGTGTTTTGCGCTGCTATTATGGAGTATGGCCTACTAGGTGATGTGGCCCACTAGGTGGTGAATTACGTTAACGTTATATTTAGTACCTAGGTAGTTAGTTAACTAACGGCGTTATGTTAGCACGCCAGCAAGCCAAGAAGCCAAGAAGCCAAGAAGCCGGGAAGCCAGGAAGCCAGGACGCCAGCAAGGGTACGCTAGCGGTAGTTGGAAGAGGTAGGAAGAGGTAGGAAGAGGTAGGAAGAGGTAGGAAGAGGTAGGAAGAGGTAGGAAGAGGTAGGAGGAGGAGAAGAGGACTGAGCGCCTCTAACGCGTCGCAGTGGCACAGCCAGCACCCGGGAGTCCGGATATCGAGGCTTAACATAGGGTCTTCACAACATCCTGCTTTCCGGCTCCGGGCCGTGAGTAACCGTTATTCCGGACAAGCTAGCACACCACTAAGCTAACATCGCACCGGACCATGACGGCCTGGATGGATCCTGGCCTGCTACTTGCGACTGGTGCTTCCGTCGCTTGCGCACCCGGTTGTAAGGCCGCGGGAGTGAGAGCTCGGCGCGTCGGGACTGACGGAGGCGAAATTTCTGCTTCAGAATCCGTGTCTAAGTTGCCCCATTTTGAGTAGTCGATAGCCATGAAAATTTGCTGGATCGCACTTCCCGAGGAAGATTTAATTTGAATAATTAGATGGTAAAGGTGAAGAAGACGCGAAACAGTGGGATCTGAGCTGAAACCTCGTGCCCGTGCATGGCGTGCTAAACCCTAAAACTCGTCAGACGCACAAGCCACCAGCCCCTGTAGTCACCTAGCAAAAAGGTCCTGGCCATGGTACCTCTTCTGCATCGTCAAGCAGATCGAATACCGAATATGCATACCTACGAGGAAAGCAGGGAGCTCATCGCTCGAAGCGCACTCCTCGGGGAGATGCCATACCGACCGCTCCCCGTCCCCGAACTCGTCCCCGATCCAAGCCATCACGCCAGCAAACTATAATCCCTTCTCACATTGTCGATAGGCTAGTGAAACTAGGCTGGTCACGATATGGAGAGGGCGGAGAGCGGCGAGCGGCGTACGGTTCTTTCGGCCGTGGCGGCCGCTTCTGCTACTGGCTTGATGCTGGGAAATCCGTCCCCGTCGCCCAAAAGAACGTCGACTATGTCTGTCGCTTTCAAGGCATGACGCGGCAGCAAGTGAGAGCTGCGGTCTACGAGATCTTAGGTGTGGAGTTCATGGATACTGGTGAAGTATGAACTGGGACCAGATGTGATGTTCTTCGGCGGGAATTTGATCGATGCCGCAGACCGGTTCCTCGAGGCGTACAGCGGCGGAGAGGTGGCCCTGGAAGCGGTGCACGCTAGAGCGTGGAATGGAACTGGATTCACAAGGAACATCGGTGATTTCACCCACATCACGTGGCCCTCTTGGAGGAGCTCCGGGCAAGCTGTGCGCAAGCGCAACCGGGGCGTGCGGAGCTCTCAGGCGTCGAAGACGATGTCACCGACAAGCTCGCGAAGTAGGGATCTAGAAGTGGCACTCCCTCCACGCCATGGACGTCTGCCAGGGCACGTTCACTCCGAACGTAACCACTGGGCCGGATATAGCGTGACCAGCTGTACACAGTCTATGAAGACTTGTAGGCACCCGCGTCTTTAGTTCATTCCCCCCTTGTGTGAGTGTCTTGTTGCTGACGATCAGCCGCCCTCTTCATCAGCTAAACATCGGCCAATTCCACCCAAACCTGGCCAACCACGGCGTCACCAAGGACATCCAGGATGAGCGGGACAACATTCCCGAGCCGTCCCAAGCCCTAGCGAGCTTATATATCTTAGTTATCGCCTCTTCGGGTCTCTCCCTGCTCTGCATCGGGTGGCTCCTCCGACCTGCCTATGGCATATCCCGGCGATGTTCGCAGCCATTGTTATTATTCATCAGCAATATCATCGTAGTAGTAAGCGGAAAGTCGGCGGACAAGATTAACAATCTCGGTCAGCACATCAGGTTCTCGGCGTCTAGCAGCCAGAAGCTTGTATAGTCATATAACATATAATTCTCGCCGATCTGAGTCTATTTCGATTAAAGATGAATCATGAGAATAGATTTTATTGGAGTTGGTTACCGGTCCTGTGCCTCCTATCCTTTATATGCCCGAGTATTCAGGTACCATTCACTTAATCTAAGGGAATGGGATTGCCCCTTAAGTTAAGCGCTTCTCGAGGCGCTCTGCAAGTACGGCCCCTTCCCATACCCGTGCCCTTCCTTTTCTTGAGATCCCGCACCCACTTGTCAACGTCCCATTATACCCAATAATCGATCAAGGCGCTGGAATCACTCGGAGGCTTTAACCGGTTCACGTATATGATCTTCCCACCTTACCTACTCACTTGGTAACGTGGAACTTGGCTGGGCGGACACACCCGGCTCCTATTGGCCTTCATAAAGGATCAAAGGGCATGCATAAAAATGTCCTTAACAGCGAGGCGGTGACGGGGGGTCGCAAGGCCTTCTGCCTTTTAGGGTGCCGGTTGAAGAGTCTTGGAGAGGGGCTTAGAAAGTATAAATAGCGTCGACCTCCTTCCTAACGGTCCCTGATATCCCTCTCCTTTAAAGATCTCTTACAGCCCCTATAACTATTATAGCTCATATAACTCTCCAGACGACGGCGAAGTTTATCGCTTAAGCAATACTACTAAATTATAAGACACTTCTTTTGTTGAAGGCCCGGAAGCTAAAGGAGGGTAATTGTTCGGGTTTATAATATCTCCAGTCTCTCTTGGTCATAGCTACCTAGTTAGCTGAAAGTCACTGGTACAATCGCCCAGCCCCAGGGAGTCAGTTAAGCGCTCCTGGTCGGCGCATGTCGGCGTCGCTGTCGACGATCGTCACGTTTACGGGCAGTCGTTCGAAAGGATCCAGCCAGAGCACCTAAGGGCTTAAGAAAGTCTCGTCGTATCCAGCGCAGAAGAGAGCGTTCTTGAGGTTCAGCGATGCCTTCGTGCGAGGGAATAGTGGTAGGCGCGATGGTTATCCGTCAAGCAAGACTAAAGATAACAACCCATGGTAATTTGCACAGGTCGAAAATGGCTCTACCCTTCCAAAGCCACCGACACGAGCAACTGCAGCCGCAAAGCGAGAGGCGAAACGCCAGGCTACAAAAGTCATCAAGCGACGCAAGACATTGACCGGAAAGTCGCACGATTTTCACAAGGATTGTGGATTTGAGGTCCTCTTGCTACTGCAAAAGGGTCCTCGCTCTTACGTTTACACATCACCCGGCATGCCATTCTGGCCTCCTATTGCTGAATACCTTGTGAGTCTCTTGCTCAGTCGACCGGCAATGAGCTAATTCAGGCCTTAGATGCAAAGATTACCCTTCCCCACGGTCTATACCTCTACAGAAGAGGCCATTGGCCCTTACGGAGTTGGAGAAAATGATATATTGGAAGCTAAGGGCATTCCAGAAGACCTTAGCCCATGAGATGCCTCCATATAAACGAGTCGAGCTGGCCTGGCAGTCGTATCAGCAAAGCAGTAGCGGGCTACAGCAAAGGTGATGACGCCGCAGTCAGATCTGTGGCTTTGGGGATTGGCTGCGGGTAATAACGACATGACGGCTACGGAATAGTTGAGCAAAACGGGCGATAAGATACTGAGCGCCTCTTGAACTCTGGGTTTGGCACTGAGTCACAGGCGGCAGCGCATTTCTGTTGCTGTCAATACATACTAAATAGGAAACAACGTGCCGGGGGAACGAGTTTAGGTCCATCTCCTTTGCAGTACAACTTCTTCTGTTTCCCCCCTTCGGGTTCTCCGAGTCGCAAAGTGTCCCCGCCGAGGTACTGCACGGAAGGGTATACAGGCGAGCGTAATGATTCGCCGCGGTCGATTGTTCCCTGCTGTGTTGGGTCCCATGGCGCATAGCTTGATCCCTCCCGGCGCACGACAGCCACATAAATCCACCTGATGAGAGATGACAGGCATGAATTTGCTGAGGCCCGGGGAGAACACTCGACAGAACCAAATGTTTACAACTCACGACTGGGGGGAGAGCAAAGTTATTTGCGTTGCTAGCTTAAAATTCTATTCGGTTCGGGAAGTTGGGGAGCTATCTCGCTGCTAATCGCGCGGGTCAAGGAAGCGTAGAAACAGAGTAACGCTGTTGCAAGAGCAGAAGAGTGGCCTCGCGCCCCCTCTCGCTATCACTGACTACCCATAGTCGCCTGGGCCGTGCTCACGGCCTACCCACCGTCGTCAATTCCGGTCCCTACGCTTTTTGTTGCGCAGACAACTCTAATCTGCAGAGATGGTTCTTTTACCCGGTTCGCCTAGCGTGTACGGCTCCGGGATTAGGGAATACCTGAAACAGGGGGAATCCACGAGTCCCGGAACACCTTAAAGCTAGGAAAATAGGGTCTCCAGGCCCTACGTATAATGCCCGCGCAGGGCCGAAGCTAGTCAGCATCCGGACTCCTCTGGGCAGAGCCCGTCTTAAACCCTGGCCGCATTCATAATGGACTTCCTACTTGTGAATACGGCGGAGGCGGAGATATGCCTGCCTCCCATCTCCCGTCTTCGTCTTCGAGTAAAGCCGGATCTATCAGATCCAGTAATGAGGGGATCGCCATTTCGTCCCTGCCCTGGCCTCTCCGTCGCCTGTTCGATCCGATAAGCGACTGATCATTAAGAAGAGTCGCGGCAGAGCCGCCCCCGCCGCTCTCTTCGTCGTTCCCGCCCCTCCCTCGTTTTCTTCCTCGATTCGCCTGGGACCTACCACCGGAAAGAGTCGCGGGCTCTGCTTCTTTGCCGGACTGGCCATCTCGGCCGTGCACTTCTGACATGTGAGATAGCTACTTGAGGTAGCCGTCAATCATGACATTCGGCTTGGTTTCCTGCTTTTGACATTCCGGACATGGAAATGGCCGCTCGAATAGGCCTCTGTTCCTGTGTTGCCTGTTGAAATGCCACAAAAAGCCCCCACCCAGAAACATACATAGCAACACAAAAAAAACATCGGGCAGTCCTTCCCTTTATAGATGGGGCGAAGCGTGCCCTTGGCTGTCGAATTTTGGGGGTCTTCGCCACGTACGTCCTGTCTGAATATAGCGTTGGCGCATGTTGCGTGCCGTGGCACATCTCTCCGTGAATGCTCCATCCCGGCGGGCTGCGCATAATATAATCTTCCAGCCGTAGACGTCGGCATTGGGACAGGGGGACGGCTCGCTGAAAGTCATCCCCTTCTCGATATGGACACGGATGGTGTGCAGGCGGCGCAGCACGCGAGTTGCCGCATCTTCTCTACTTCGTCTGCTTCGTTTTTTTTCCCGTTTCCTTCACACTCGGGCTCGGGCTCGGGCACTTTCAGATGGATTGCTATCATCTACCGGAGATACAGAGGCACCAGCTTCTTGATGATGATAATGATGATTACCATGATGACGGCGTCGACATTTCCTTAGCCGACGCCGCCGTGTCCATCAACGACCTGATTCGCCGACACTGTCGCGAACGACTCCTTGTCCCCCCTCTGCAGTGGACCAGCCGACACCTTGATCTTTTGGGATGCAGCTTTTCTACTGGCCCATCGCCTCACACCAATAAATCCCCAGCCAGCCAGCTCTCGATCGCCAGCCCGGATGGAGGCCAGGGCGAAGGCCGAGGCGGAAGCCAACACCACAAACGTCGATGCTCAGATGGAGCCCCAAGCCACAGACCCGAAACGATTACCCCTCCCATATCCCCACCTTCCACCATAAGTCTCGACGATAGCAGCAGCTCAGAGGTTGATTCCGGCGGTGATTGTGGTGCAGGTGCAGGAGACTCGAGTGACGGTTAAAACGACGCCGCCAGCGAGGAGAAATGGCCGTGACCAGAGGACCCCAGGTTCCGCCACGGCGGTAAGGATGAGGAGAATCGAGATTAAGATCGCACGGAAGAGCTGCTTCGACATGCTCGGATCGTGGCATGCGGGAGGGGCGCAGTGCGTAGGCAGATCTCCATGGGCATCTTACTGGGCCACGATGGCTCCCTTTAGCCCGATTTCCAGAGGTCTGTCGTCTGTCGTCTGACGTCTCCTTCCCCCGTTTCTTTCTGATCTGGCCGCTAACCTCCTCTCGATGGAACGAAACAGACCATCCCTCAACTTCTTCTACGACAACAGACGCTTCTGTGCCTCGGTTTCCATGTCTCCTCTTTGGCAGGTCTCGTCAACCATCACCGCAACATCAATCCTCCAGCCCCAATCCCAATCCCAATTTCCCACTCTTTCCGACGGCTGCCTGGGGCCCGCACAGCGCGCCTGTTAAGGTGGCGAGGGCTCCGCCGCTCCCGAGGGCAAGATTCGGGACATACTACAGCCAATATACCCGATGTACCCAGCTAGTGATGTCATCATACACACGCGACCTCAGGTACTTATCGCAGGATGACGTCACTCCTCTACTCACCATTGATTATGCTACTCTGATTATTCCACCGTCATTAAGCAGAGACATTAATTCCTCTACTACTACAAGACACTCCTTGTCGTCACCCTACTACCACCCCCTTTTCCTACCTGGTCCGTCTGCCCATCTTGCAATAACGCGGCCACAGCTCGGTAGCTCCCAGCATCGACTCCATTCTGCGAGAATACCCCGACATCTCCGCCGCCCGTAGGGTGCCCCGGCAGTCCGCAGGAGGCAAGGACGAGAGCGGGCCGGCGCGCGACGCGCAGCCCTGCGAGCATGACGCGGCGCGAGAGGACCATCGCTCGGTCCGTCGTCTTCGCGATGCTGAGCGCGGGCGAGGACGGGCGGGCGGCGCGGGAGCCCTCGCTGGCGCGCGCTCTGCGCGTCTTCTACCTGCACTGGGTGGCGCTGCAGCCGGCCCGCGCGGACCTGTTCGCGGAGCTGCGGCGGGGGTGGGGGATCAGCGAGGCCGCGTACCGGGGCAGCTTCGACGCGCGGAAGCAGGGCCGGCGCGGCGCGGCGGGGGCGGCCGCTCTCCTGCCGCTCGGCGACATGGGCTACAGCGGCTCCACCTTCTACCGCACCAGCGACGGTGCCTATCTCGTCAAGTCGGTCCCGCGCGCCTTCGAGCACCGCTTCTTCCGCCACCGCCTGCTCGCCGCCTACGCCGACCACGTCCGCGCCAACGGCGCCAGCCTGCTCGTGCGCATCACCGACTTCCTCGAGGCCGCCCACCGGAGCCTCGGCACGCTCCTGGGCCTCGCCCCGACCCACCACATCGTCATGGAGAACCTCATGCACGGGCGCGAGGGCGAGGGCGAGGGAGAGGGCGGCGGCTCGGCGCCCCGGTGGGAGTCCTGGGACCTCAAGCCCGCCTCCTACTTCTTCCCCGAGCGTGACGTCGCCGGCGGCGCGCTGGCCTCCGAGGCCACCAAGTCGAAGCTGCCAGACGAGTTCCGCGACAAGCTCCGGGTCTCCGCCGCGCAGGCCGCCGCGTTCGCGCGCCAGCTCGAGAACGACACGCGGCTCCTCGCCGACTGCGGCGCCGTCGACTACTCGCTCTTCCTCGTGCGCGTCTCCGCGGCGAGCGCGCCGGGGGACGAGGAAGCGCCGCCGCCGCCGCCCCTCGCGCCCCCCTCGCCGCCGAGCTGGCGCACCGGGATCGTGTCGCGCGACGGCCGCGAGGTCTACCGGGCCGCCATCCTCGACTTCTTCTGGTCGAAGCACGCGGTCCACGCCAAGGCCATGACCGGGCTGGTCCGGAGCTACGACGTCGTCGCCGGACACGGGCCCATGACCATCACCGCCGACAGCAGCGAGTACCGCGACCGGTTCCTCAAGATGTGCTCGGACATTGTCGAGGTCCGCTCCTGACCCCTCGGCTAGTGAACCACCGCTGTAATCGGAGGCTTAGAACGGAACGTGCCTTAGAGCGCGGCGAATAACCGGCGTACCAACTTCGTCTTTTCCCCCTTCCCTCTTCAATAACAGGAACCCGTGCCATGCCTCGTCAGCCTGCCCTCGTATCCTCCTAACTGGTGCCGAATTGTAACATGTCCATTTCCCACGACATCCATCGAGCGCCGGCATAAGACTGGCAGATTGCTATTCCGTGTGGTAGCATGCCCGCTCGGCGAGCCGAAGTCCCGAGCCGTCTTGGGACTCCTCTCGCAGACTTTTCTGGAATGAGGTGCTAACAGTAGCCGTCCGTCCAACAGCTCGATTACACGATTTTAGTGGTTCTTTGGTAACTTAAACATATACATTAATATGTCGAACGTAATAGAACGACTTGCTGGCGTGTGACCACGTAAGAATCCTTCCGGCAACGCGTTCCCTAGGGTTGGGGAAAACGGGGTCCTTACGAGGGAGGCGCATAGATTAAGGAAAAAGGGGAACAATGCGGTGATATGCGTGTAAAGCTAACCGTATCTCACCCCCCTAACGTACCTAACCGAACAGCAGTAATCATGAAAGCCCACGGACAGCCACCGCCTATCTAGCCCTAAGAATTGACGAGTCTATTGTTGCAAGAAGTATGTCGTTCGCTCGTCTCGTGCCTAGCGATGATGGTGAATGATGAGAGCGTACAGGGTGGCCTCCCCCCCCTTGGTAATGTTGAGAATGCATACGCGCTTCGTCGTACATAAATACAGCGGTAAGAGAAAGAGAAAGTGAAAGTGACGACGATCCGAGCGCGAGCCAGTCTGTGGGTATCAAGCTCCCGCATGGCCTGCTAATTATGCTACAAAGTGAAAACTTCCTTTCTGTCCCGTCGTGGGACTCATCTGTTTTTTTTTTCTCCGCTTCGCTCCACTGGCCGTCGCGACGGACTAATACCAGCGTTTAGTCGGACGTGAATAAAGATGTAAAAACATAAGGCTTCTCGTATCCTTCTTTCGGCAGAGAGCCTGAGAGCTCTAACCTTCTATTGAACCGCTAACATCGTGTCTTCCTCCAGGCTTTGCATGCTGGCGCTATCGCTAAGGCCGTCGCCCTCCATGGCACGTCGGGCAACGTCGCGCTCGCCGTAGATCTCCACTCGTCTCGCCTTAGCGTGCTGTAAGCAATCGACGTAGGTCCTGAACTTGACGATTTCACGCAGAAGATAGCTACTCTTCCGCTCCCAGTTAGTCATCGCCTTGGTCGCGTTTTGGCCACGTGGTGTGAATGCTAGAAGCATGGGAGACCGCAATTGGTTATGTCTCTTCAGATCCTCTTCGATGGATCTAACGTAGGCTTCTAGGGTTTCTAGCTGCTCCGCCTCCGAGCACGTGCTGGGGCGTAATGACTGTGCTGGCGGCGCCCAATCGGCAATATGGATACGGTCGCCCGGGAGCTTCGCTCGGGAGGAGCCGCCAACGTCAAATGACGAGCGAATGCTGCTCGGAATGCTGTTCTGGCGACTGTGCATGCTGGAGCGGCCCGCCGCGGCGCTGCCGGGACGCGGTGGCATGACCGTGTCGTTGACCGCAGTGATCAGGGCGCTGTTGATGACGGCGTCGCTCCAGCCATACTCGATATTACTAACGCCGCCGACGAGGGGATGTGTGCTCAGCCGAGAACTCCAGTAATTTACCGTGAGGACGAACTCCTTGCTTATCTCCGGCGTGCCAACTTGGAAGAGGTGGACGGCGCCGGTGGGGAGGCTGAGCGCCCACACGTGCTGTCGGCTTCGCGAGTAGCCAGGTGGTGGAAGAGCTGATGCGAGGGTTTGCCGGAGCGAGAACGTGCCAACGTTGGTGGCGTTTTCCTGCCAGTTTCCGCCGCCGACGACGCCGCCGACGGGTGGCTTGCGACCGGAGCGGGCCTTTTGACGCATCGACTTGGTAGAAAACGAGAACAGACTCATCGTCCCTTTCTGGACAACAGCGAACACCTCCGTCCAATTACGCTCCTTAGCCTTCTTGTCCATTCCGTCGAGGTGGTGCTTGTGAATAACGAGGCCCTCCTTAATCCAGGGAGGCCCGGAAAGCTCGAGCGACTCGTCTTCTAGAAGCTGAGCACTTGACAGATCATCACTAATAATAGACTGTCCACTGGTGCCCGGCGGAAGATCCTCGCGGATGATGGCCTGGCTGAGGGCATTGGCAAAACCGATGGATTGTTGGTAGTCGCCTTGCGGGTAAGAACCAAATGAGTCCATAGACATCGAAGTCTGAGTCCTGCCCAAAGAATACCGGCTCCATGTCGCCGACGAGGTAGCAGGACTCCAGATCGAGTTCATGTCCTCAAAACTGGTACGGCTCGACGAGACTCCGTTAGCGGTAAATCGTGGTCGCGACCGACTCTTCGAATTCCACCGACTGCCAGGAGGCCGCGTCGGGTCGTTCACCCGGCCGCGGGTCGAAATATAGCCCTCGGAAGGCGCCTTTGAAAGCACGCTCGGGCTACGTTTAAGCATACCCATGACGGTTAAGCTGTTTTGCGCTTGGCTGTGGGGGTTGTTTTGCTCGGCCCCGAAGAGAGGGAGCCTTTCGTCACGGATAGACGTGTAAACATCCTTCAAGACCAACTCGACTTGTTGCGTCCAAGCTTTCATGTTGCCCTCGAAGGGCGTCTTGACCAGCGGACCGCAGCTATCAACCAGCCCGTCGGAGTAATTACCCGTAGACGAGTCCGATCGTGGCGGTGGCTTGAAGGAATACCTCCAGCTAGGCCGTTCCGACTCTGGCTCGGGCGGCACGACGGTTTCTGCCTCGGCGGGATTCAGGAAGGTCGACTTCCCCGGTAGGATACTGGCCCGGTCGAATCCCTCGGGAAGAGAGTCGGCAATGGCGTGCTTGATGGTGGTCATAGTATTCTTGACAAATTGGCTCCTCGTCATCTTTTGATCGATATCTGCGACGTGCAGATCGGTATTCAGGAGCATGATAGAGTAACACAGCGTATGAATTACATCTGCGAGATGTGGTCAGCTGCATTCCTAGGCCGCAGCTCGGCTTACTTACCAATGTCCTTGAACCCGTGATTGGGGTTGCAGTCGCACCATCGTTTGGAGAATGCGACGAGTATCCGGTCGACCTGTTGCGTCTCGGCTCGGAAGACGAGACGAGTGCATACTTGTCGGAGCGCACTAAGAACGCTTTGATTCTCGAAGTCGTAAAGATCCATGTATGCGCGTAAAGTCCGTTGTCTTACCAGACCCTCTTCTCCCATCCACGCAGCAGCCTTCTCTTTCTGGATGAAGTCTTCATTTCCGTCGAAGATTCTCTGCGCTTTTTGGCGATCGTCTTCTGTGGGCTCTCCTACCGTTACTTCAGGCTCATCTAGCGGTGACCCCGTAGCCTTCGAGCTGGTTTCTACGCTGTCTATCGTGACACTGGGTAAGCTACCAACCATCTTGTTGAGCGGGCCAGGGCAAGTCGAGGTCCTCTTCGGAGCCTGGCGGCTGTTGCTAGCCTGCCTAGGATCTAACCCATGGTCCTCCTCCTCGATTGTGCCGTTTTCCTGGAATAGCAAGCTCGGTGAGGGTTGGGGTCTTGGGAATTCCCCATTGCTAGCCATCTGCGGCTCCCGTGCCTCGGGGCCGGCAGTCTCACCCCTCGGCCCATTGGTCACTGGTGAAGATCCGGTATTTTGGCGGTGCTGCCTCTGCTCGACTGCTGGCCGCGGCTTTTCGCCTTCGTCACTACTATCGTGGAAAAATGTAGCGTCGCGACCCTCGACGCCCTTCTTCGCGGGTAGTTCGGGAAGCTCATGCATCGCTAACTCCATCTGTGTCCGCCTCCGGGTCGATTCGTGATTTCTCAAAGCCGACGTAGATTTCACGGTCCTAATGGTGGCACTCGCGCTTGGTTCGTAATCGGGTGAGAAACCACGCGTTCTGCGGCCTTTCTCCTCGTCTTGGGACTCATAACCGAGGGCTCGCGACGAATTCTCGCGCTCCAGGGGAGGTAGGCTGCCAGACAAGGGGGTCCGATCCTGCTGAAGATACGGGCTCATCGTCTCGCGCAAACTAGATGGGCTAGATTCGCGCACGGTAACCGACTGCTCCTTGATCCTATTAATCTCCATAGACGTGGGTATCGGCGGCGCCGGGACGGGTGGTTCGGCCACAGATTTCTTCCTTCTCCGGAAAAAGGACGACTTCTTTTGAATGACATGATGGGGTTGATTTGGGGGGCGCTGGGAGTCCCGAGACGGTGGAGTAGATTGAGCCTTCGTCTGGGATGCAACATGTTGCAATTTATTTGCGACAGCCTCTGCCGACGAGGGTGCGCCTTGGGAGAGTCTAATATCGGGGGCGCTCGCGTTATTGCCCCGAGATGAGCCGAAAAATCTGCTGAAGAAGCCCTGCTTTTCTTTTACCGGAGGTGCTGATCCTTGAGGGCCATGCAACAACTCCTTCGACTTCTCGTACCCGATGTGTGGCGCAGGAGCCGAGTCCATATCGATCGGAGGTAACGGAGGAGGCGCCTCACGCTCACGCGTGGTACTATACTTCGACTGGTTTGTCCGTGCGGTACCGCTCCTCGACCTCGTAGTAGACTTCTTCCGATCAGGTGGCGACTCCGGCTCCCGGGGTGCTGGGGGCGGCCCGGCGGGAGAGGTCGGCATGTTTATGCGCCTGGGGCCGACGGGCACCGTCGGCGTGGGAGCCGCTTCGTACTCGTCTACAAGGAACGTGTTGCTGAACTCGGTCTTCCAGGCACTGGGGGAATTTAGAGACGGTCGCTGTCCGTAGTCGAAGCTCGACGACCGCCCACCCAGGCCGTGTGCCGCTCGTTGGGTGTTGATGGCCTGGGAGTAGCCTCCTCCGTCAATGCTGTTGGTACTGCTGCTTTTACTCGTCTTGCCCCCTCTCGAATGCAGCACACGCGCGCCGCCCGTACCGGGGTAACCACGCTCGCGTAAACTATTGATTCTCCCCAAGCCGGATTGAAAGCCGGAACTGCTGTTGCTACGCCGCCCCCTCGAGAATTGGCCGGATAACCTACTCGCCCCGTCGTCGGTACCCTCGATGTCGGAGCTGCAACTGTATCCGTGACCGTGGCCTACACCCGAACTCCACATGCGATTGGAACGGGACGCGCTCGACATATACTTGGAATAGTCGTCTCTCGATCCTCCGGCAGCCTCGTCATCCTCAAACATATTAGTCGTAGGCGTGTGCAGCTGTCCCAGGGAGAATTGGTCGAGGGAGGTCAGCATGTTCGTCACGAGCGAGTCGCGGGTGAACTGGCGGGCGGGCAGGGACAGGTCGTGGGAATCTCTCGGATTCCTGCCCCGGGGAAGATCGGCGAGGTCGGGCTCGGTGGCCCTCTCGATAGGCGAACTGTTGTCGAGGAAAGACTCCTCAGAGTTGACCGAAGTGGCAGTCGACGGGGTCTGTCGAAAGGCCCGGCTGCTGGATAGGGGCGGCTTCCCTTTGGCGGAGGTGGGAGGCTTGCGAGCCGGGGGCGTGAGAGGCAACGGGGGCATAGATTCGCGGCTGCGAGTGGAGGTGCCTGAGGTGTTGATATTCAAATCCGGACGCAGGCGCTGGGCCCGTCGACCATTTTCGGAGGAATGCATGGCGAGGCGTCGATTGGTCGGCTTCGCGATGAACGGGTCTAGGTTGGATGACAGCAGAAACGGGGGGCTGCCATACGCAGCACACAACCACCAGCAACCCGACGGCGGGAAAGACGGGGGGCAGACCGAAAATAGAAAAAATGCAGAGGTGGTGTGTGTACCTGCGGTAATTGGCCTTAGTCTACCATCCTTTGGTCACGTCGACGCAAGCAACTCCTGCCAATCCTCCAGGAGGCCCAGTGTATGTCGGCCAAGATGGGATCCGCGCGGGCACACACGGGTTGATATTGTCGGTCGGGTTCGCCAGCTACGCCGGAGACAGGACCGCTATCAGATTGGGGGAGAAGAGGGACGACATGAAAGGGGGGGGGGAGAAGAGCCGTCGCGCATGAGAGATCCTTGTCAGGCTGATCGTATCTGCAATTAGGAAAACGTATTACCGGTATTAAAATGAGTGAGCGACGGAACGTCGTGTTGGTACGGATTCGATTCGGAGGGTGCAATTGGTCAAGCGAGCGAGGAGAAGGGGGAAAGAAAAAAGAGAACAAAAAAAGAGAAGAAAAAGAGCCCGGTCAAGACTCCCTCGGGCCAGTCAAGTATCTGGGGGAAGAGAAGAACATGGAAGCGGAAACAGAACGGAAGGGAATGGGATGTTGGGTGTAGGATGTTCTGCCCGGTTTTTGTCGGGTGGAGAGACGTACGGAAGTGGAAGACATTTGAAGCAGGAAGCAGGATAGGGGACTTTTCTCTGGAGAGGAGAAGGGAGGGAGAGAGGGAGGCCGTGGTTGCGTGCATACATATTAGTGCATACGTCGGGTACGTTGATGCATCACACACCCCTACAATACACGTCCTAGTCCTATTACCTGGCTGTACGAGTACGCGCACGACGCATTCATTTCCACAGCATATAATTGGAACATAGGTAGGTAGGTCTGGGTAGGCAGGTTAGGTACCTACCTTAGGTAGCTATATCAATGGTATACCTAGCATAGGGGGGAATCGGCGGTGGAGTCGTGGACCACACACACCACACACACCACACACACAACTTGCGCACGGGTTACTTCTGGGGTACATGAAGAAATAGGGGTCCGTCACTGCACCTCTGCTGGGCGAACTGCGTACCCATCTGGTATCCTTCTGCGATCTGCGACAAGTTGGGTCGAATCGCCAGTTGGGTTGTCGGGCCTAGCATCCAGGAGGCGACGGCGAGGTATGGTTGGCCATTGGCCGCGTCGAGCGAAGGTTCTTGTCTATCTCCTAGGTACCTACCTATATATATATATCAATACAGTCATGTACCTATGTGACAGTTATGTGTACACGTCTATCTGGGTACGTACTCAATGACAGGTACCGAAGAAGCCTGCTCTTCTCCGTCAGGGGTTGATCGCAGCTGATTGGACGAGAGGTCGCAGCCCCGGTTCAGACTGACACCGCGACCGCAGGGGCCTGTGCTGATAGCCTCTGATAGTACCCAGGTACGTCTTACCCCACAAAGAACATACCTAGGAGGTATCTTATGTACATACCTGCGCCGCTACGCAGCAGAACCGTGGCCTAGGAGGTATGTAGGTACATCTACAAGCCCCTACGATCCCACTACATTAGGTAGAAGCGCATCGATGGCCTCAATCAACGATACTCATGCTCTCCCGTTGCACGGCTGCGCTTATCTGCCATGTCAACTCTCGCGACGGGCGGCTGACGTCCTAAGGAGCTGCTTAGCATGGACGCTATCAATAAGGCCGTTCACCCAAAGGGGGAGGTCTTCCAGCTCGGCACTTTGATCGCGTCGTACTGTCTGTCATCCGCTACGTCCAGCAAGACGGCCGGGGAATCCTTACGGGTTATGCGCGTATAATATACGCACACACGCCGACAACACGTCTCTCTGCCTATCCGGGTAGCTACCTACCTATCTCGCGAATACCGACACATTTACCTAGGGTGCAGATGCAGTCGGCACCGCGAGCGCCTAATATGCGCCGCCGATAGCAGACGCACGCCCTAGGCCCAACGCTTGCGTCGACAACTGATGGGCGAGTGTGTGGTGAGGCAGACGACGAATCCGGATATGCCGTGAGATTGCGCAGACACCCCTAACACCCCAAACTTCGAGACACAGGGCGCGGTGGACCTCGAATCCCCATCCAAACCTCTGAGCGATGTTTGATTCCTCCAAGACAGCTCCAGATGGAACTGGCCATCCGGCACAAGCCGCGTCCCTGTCAGCATGCGCGAGCAGATCTGGTCAGATTGTAAAAGCAACTACCTGCCCACCTTTCCTACCAGGTACCAACCAACCTACCTGCTGCCAGGTTAGGTACCTAGATGCCTGAGGATGACCTTCTGTAAGAGAAGATTGCCACTAGATAGGTACTTACTTAGGTACCCTAGGGAGGTAGGCAGCTCGTAGACGCAGACATTGAACTCGTATAGACTACCCCCTAGATAATCTTTGTCTCTGTCTCTGCCGCGTCGGGTTCGGAGAGAGTTATCCCCCTCTGCCCTGCCTACTGATGACGAGACTGGGGATTTCGCTGATAAGATTCTTCTTTTGTCTCCCACAATGTCACTCGAGGCGCCCTGTTCGCTTCCGTACCGCTTCCTTGTCGCATATCTATTTGAGCATCTAGATCTAGATTGCTTAGTTGGCCAACCAAGGATGCCGGGGACACTAACCCTCACTACCCGCAGCAAACGCGACATCATCGTTCATACGCTATGCAGTAAGGTGCCCGAGGCGTGTCGAGGCGACTATGAGTAGTTCCGCACATTGGATGAAATGGGGAGGTATCGCGGGCAATCGGGTGTCTCTGGAGCTCTCGGAAAGTTGTAGGATAAAAACCAGGGTCAGGCAATCCTAACTCTGCCGACACCAAAGGCAATCCGCACCTTTCTAGTGGAGGAATTATCTAACATGACAACAGGCAGCATGCCGGACAATATATAGTAGGTACCTACTTCGTACCTGAACATAAAATCTACTTGTTATCGGTACCTACATAATAACAGAGGTACCTGTATCGCGCCCAGAGCACCAAGAACTTGGCACCCCTGAACCCTAGAAGCCGCGTGGGGTGGCCCCATCTATATACCTACGTGTAAGTCTGTCCGTTGCCCGTCGCCCACCCGTTCCTGGTGTCCATCTCATCTTCTCACGCCTTCGCGATAAAATCCCCCCTGACCATCCAACGGGCTGTCGACTTTCGTCTTTTGCATCTGCGCTAGGGAACTTTTCCCACGTGTGTATGTATACATATACAGTCGGCCTTCTCTTCTCTCTCTCTCTCCGTCTTTGCCTCTGTCTCTTCTAATTTCCGTATCCCCGTCTCGACGCGCGCGGCGCTGCGCCGAACCTTCAATTATATCCTTAGCTGGGCATCTGCCATGCGCCGGCATTCAACATAGTACCGCAGTAATATAGACAGGAGAGGCTAATAGACGCAACAATTGCATAGGAGTGCACCACATCCCCTTCGTCGCCAAGTCCCCGTCAAGGGACCGCTAGGTTACGGCCAATCCCGGACCACCTCACTGTTTCACCTGCCGACTCGAGCGCTGCATCATGCATCTGAAAGGGTGAAAGCGATAGCTCGAAAAGGAAAAGGCCGGGCCTGGGTCGGCTCGTGCAGCGCTCAGGGGCAATATATCCGTACGTAGAACTCGATGTTACGTTGGCGATGCGCATCTTGATCGTCACCCGGAGACGGCGCAGACAGCTTTGATTCGACAGCAACGCTCGGCCATCTGCCGACCTGGATTTCTCTTGTTACGCGGGGACGGGGATAAGCGCTGCTGCCGTCGTCCGTCGATGATCGGCAACGAGAGAGTGGTAGACATCGAAGGCAGGTATTTACCCGCAGGGAATCGGCCTACGGTCGTGTCGGGCTTCGTTCACTCGTGTTGTACGGCCTTACTGTAAAAATGGCTTGTCTAGTCGTCGCACCGCAGGCGAGACGAACATAAACCTGTTGCTCTTCTGACGCCTCCCCTGTGGTCCAGGTAATGAAGCAAGATAAGTCAACCTGGACAAACGTTCACCGATAGACCAGGTCTCGTTGCTGCCCCCCTCCCCCCCCCTGGCCTGGCTCTTCGCAGCCGGCGCAAAGGAGGACCAGGCCAGGGGATGAAGCGCGGCTAGAACGATTGGCACGCAAAACATACAAACGGTGTGCCCATGTGTATGTAGGTACGCGGGCCCTATTCGGACGATTTTCGGTTCTACCGCCTGCATACCTCCTACTTTCGTACCCGGTTTTGCTTCGGATCAGATCATAGTCGATGGCTTTATTAAGGGTATAAGATATCGGTTAATGAGGCACGCCGTCTCCACCCCACGATCTCCTTGCAGTCTCAGCATTCCGAGTTGAAACCTACAATTTCGGTTTATTAGGTGGTCTTATAATAGGTAACAACTCCCCCGGCCAAGCAGATCTCTCTGTGCCCTCGTCCCGCTCTCTGCCCGTTTACCATAAACATGCGTACTACGTAGGTACATAGTATGGAATCAGCTTAGCACACGTATCCGAGCGCGGGCGGGGCGATATATGGGCTGCACCCGTTTGACACACGCTGAATTGTCTCGAGTCTGGTCACGCACGCATCGTAATTGCACCACCGCTCTAGCTTCACCTCCGTCGAACAGTACACCGCCCACATAGCTGAGGGGCCTGCGGACCTCGTCGGCGGCTGCCTACACACTTGCGATGTGTGCAGCATGTGTCTCGGCAACGCTCCGACGCGATCCCCCTTCCCCCTCCCCCATCCGCCTCAAAATCAGGTCAATGAAGGCTCGCGAAGGCAGCCGGAAGGTTCGTTATTACCATTCAAGGGGACTGCAATGAGCTGTGAGGTTCTCAACGCCACCCACGGAAACATGGGTTTCGTAGTGTCTCGGGTCAACCAGAGAAGCCAGCCCTCCACGGGGTCTGACAGAAGCCGTTCGTCTCAAATGGGCCGCTGTCGCTTCTAGGTCCCTCCCTAATCAAGCTCGATGCGGTACCGTCGGGACCAGCCGAGACACGTGTAGCTGGCGCCGCGAAGTAGGTTACGGCGAAACACCCGCCCGCCCTGGCCGGCGTTATAGTATTTCAGCGGCTGCACGCCCCCCTCTTCTCCTTACGAAGCCCGCACCCGCGGCTCGGGGCACCTCGTGCGCGACGGCGAAACACCCTAGAGTCTCCACACCGACTATCATTTCCCGGGACGCGATGCCCCCGGCAGGATGGCGATCCACCAGCGCGGGACATCCTAAGAGGAGGGAGGGGCAGCGGGGAGGGGGGGTCGGATCCCGGCCTCTAGCGTGCGGCGCGTACGTCCAAGTGCGGAGGTAGGCATACGCGTGTGCATATGGCCTGCCAGGCCTCGGGGCCTGCGGGACCTGCGATCGCGGGTTATTACTTGCAGCGGCCGCCGCCCCCCAGGCCGCGCGGTGCCTCCTGGCCGAGGGGTCAAGCAGCTGGGGTGGCCGCCCGCCCGCGGGGGCGACCGCTCGTGCTGGCTGAGTCGGCATCGGCTAGTACTCCTAACACCGCTCCGGCTGTCTCCGCCTCTCTCACCCGGCGGTCAACGGGGCCTGGGCAAATGCTGGTCCAGTCAGCGGCTGATGCGAAGACGGCTGCCTCTTATCTCGACGAGAGTAAGACGCAGGTAAGAATAGGACGGAAAGTGCGCAAGCCGAGCGAGCGAGTACGAGTAGTAAGTAGGTAGGTGTTGGCGTTGGCCGCGAGCCGGCCAACAGCAAGCAGCTCACAATTGCGGGGAGGTTGGTGGCGGAGCAGGGAGGCCAAGCCAGTCTGTGATAGCAAGCAGGTATATAGCGCAGAAGTGCTCTTAGTATGAGAGGTATGCAGGTGATGCTACGTAGCATGCAGGGCGCCCACCACTTATCGAATGGAGTTGATGCTGCCGCCATGGCTTTCCCCTCCGGGTGGGACTGAGACCTCGTATATCTTGCATAGGTAGCTTGGGTCTTCTTGTCTTTCGTTTTTTCTCTCTCTTTTCTCCGCCAACGAGAGAGACATCGTGCTACGGTAATGGGTCAATAGCTAGCGCTAGCTTTTCGTCTACAGCAGACGAGGACGGAGATGGGGGGAAAGGCGGGAGGGGGAGGGTGAATTGTCCGCCAGGACTAAGTAGAGGAGGAGGTAGGTAAGCGGTGCATGCGCAGATGAGAGCAGGACGCAGTGAGAAGAGTGCCTGGTAAGTGCAAATCGACGCATTATGCGATATCCGTGGGCTGCCCGATACTGCAACGCCAGCTAGGTGCCGACATATCAGATGCATTGTATATATCGAATGCATCGAATAGGTATATCGAATATACCGGACATGTCATCTCGTGCGGGCGAAATTACGTCACAATAACAAAGAGGACGAGTGGTGGGCAGGCACGACGGCACTGCCTCCCGCAACTTCTTGCCTACTTAGGTATGTCCAGGCATCCTGCTAGCGGCTCGTGAGGTACGTACCGTCTATAGGATCGTCGGAGAATCGAGATCCCTTTCCTAGCCTCTTCCTCTCTCTACCTACGTCTCGATGGCTATCTCCACGTCCGCCTCCCAACCACCTCGCAAACCACCTGCATCGGCTCGACATCAGAAAAGCACCGTCATCCACCGTGTAAGCGATTGCCCGCCACCCCCTTCCGCACTAGGCAAACAGCTTCTCGAATGCTCAGAAGGGTGCGAACGGCTACGTCGGGGTAATCGTAAGCTGCACTGCACATAGCCTGTTACGTCGGGTAGCGAGGCCGCCATCGGGAGGCCTTCTCGCCCATCGAGCACGGCGTTCACCTCGTAACCCCGGAGCCAAGCCTGCATCTAAACCAGCCCCTCGATTGTCTCACATCACGCGTCAGTCGCCCTACCCGGGTCGATGGCTCTTGGGAACATGGCAGAGTTAGCAAGGGAGTCCCTTCACCAACAAGAACGTCTCCAGGAAGAGAGGGGGAGATATATATACACACTACTTCGCCTAGGTCGTTGGTCGCCTCGTATCTACGCCAACATCCACGATTCACCCCGTGCATCCCGGCAACCAGCAAAGCGACCTGCATGACATGCCGCTTAGGTTGGATGTGAGCACTGCATCCGAGTAAACATCGCGGTGGGTCACCGCTATGATCGTACTGTGGGACGAGTGGCACGAAGAGGTTGGCGGTGGAAAGAGAGCTGATTGACGACAAGATCGAACCTTTCCCTAACGACCTCTTCCCCAACACCAGACAGCCACTTCTTGCGCCTACCTAGTCTTCCCTAACACCTGCCTGCGAAAACAGACAGCCACTTTTCGTGCGTAGTCTCCCCTAACACCAGACAGCCACTTTTCTTGCGTAGCAGTCGTCTTCAGGGCAGTCGACGGCTTCCGATTCCTATTCCAGATTAGCATGATGCTATTACCTGGCCCGGCACCATCCGGGTCGGCTGGCCCACAAAGACCCGGCCGTCGACGTGCTAAGCTTATGGGGACCAACCTCGTAAAACCAGCGTGAAAGCGTGGAGAAGTCGCGCTAGGCCTCCCGGCCGCAGGCCAAGCTCCGAGAGACTAGAGCCGATGCCGTGCGTCTTTTTTGTCTCTCGGTTGGTCACCGCCAGCAGGATTTCTATACAATACTTCCGCTGGCTCCGTTGATGTTGTGTATCGTATTCGAGTGGAGACCAAAGGATTCTAATTTTGGGATTCCGCTTGCGGCATGCGCTAACCACTGTGTAGGATCGGCCGCCCGGTATGGCCCAATCATTCTGTGCGCCAATCCCAGTTCGGTTGTTAGATGACAGCACACATGGCGTCGCTCTCGACACGCTGTCGGCCGGGGTCATTGGCCGGCGGCGAACTGGCAGGCCTCACCTTCGTCTCCCTTGCACCAATGGGAATCGGCCGGTGGCGCAAATCGCTCACTCGCTCGTGTTCTCGTCGTATTCGACTTGAGATGGTTCTGTGGTTTGCGCCAGCCTCAACGTCAGCCCACTCGTCCCCTCGGCGAAGATGGTAGGGGACCAGTTAAGCCCTGTGGGGTTGGGATGGCAGCATCGGGAAATGGAACGTCGATACTGGCCTCCCAGCCAACAGTATTCATCCAGACCTGACGCGGCACGATGTGACTCTGCCCGTACTTAAGGAGTCCTCTGCCATCCCCCATCACCGGCCTTCCATAACTACCCCCTTTTGTTATCCTCCTAGCCGTACCTATAAACATATCGCCCAAGTCACTCGTTTTAAACTTGCGCGAAACGGCCGGGTATTAATGATCACGATCGCTCCTGTCCTTCGCTAGAGACAGTCATAATACCTTAATCTAATACGCCTTTTTCACCAAGATGCGCAGCTCACTCGTGAGCCTTGGCGCTCTCGCGCTCGCTAGCACGTCTGATGCCTTGTCTAGGCGTTGGGAATATCCCAACTGCGAAGCCGATAACTGCTACCGCAACTTTATCGATGTGCGGTTTGAACGCTTGGCACCTCAGTTTTGTTTGAGCTTTTTGGCCAGCACCACGACTGAGGCTGCCGCCATCCCGACCGAGTTCCAAGTGAGTTGGTTGGCTAGCCCCTGAGCCTAGAAGCTCTCAACTCCAAGCAGCTGCTAACTGGATGTGGTAGAACTGTGATGGAGACATCAAAGCTGTTTCGTCTGCTTGCTCGTGTATCACGTACACTTACACGCACACGGCGACCAGCACTTCAAGCTTGGCAACGCCGACGTCAACGTCTTCAGATGTCTTTACGTACCCCGTGAGCAGCACGTCGTCCACGCCGACCTACCCCGGCTATCCAACCTACCCGGGCAGCTCCACCTCAAGCTACGAGATTAGCAGCACGTCGACTTCGTCTTCATCCAAAGGGAGCTCTACTCCCAAGTACCCGACCTACCCGACCCACCCAACCTACCCTAATAGCTCCATCTCAAGCTACGAGGTTAGCAGCACGTCGACTTCGTCTTCATCCAAAGAGAGCTCTACTCCCGGGTACCCGACCTACCCGACCTACCCGACCTACCCAACCTACCCTAATAGCTCCACCTCGAGCAGCAAAGCCAGCAGCACTTCGACTTCTTCGTCGTATGAAGAGAGCTCCACTCCAGGTTATCCGACTTATCCTGTTAGTTCCACGTCAAGCTCCGCGGCTAGCAGTACGTCAACCTCGTCGTCGTATGAAGAGAGTTCCACACCGGGCTACCCGACCTATCCCGTCAGCTCAACCTCGAGCGAGAAAGCTAGCAGCACTTCGACTTCTTCATACGAAGAAAGCTCTACCACACCGGGCTACCCGACCTATCCGACCTATCCTATCAGCTCAACCTCGAGCGAAAAAGCCAGCAGCACTTTGACTTCTTCGTATGAGGAAAGCTCTACTACGCCAGGTTACCCGACGTATCCAGTGAGTTCTACTTCTAGCTCGAAGGCCACCAAGTCTTCCACCTCATCCTCGTCCGAGGTGAGCTCTACGCCGAGCTACCCGACCTACCCAACCTACCCCGTTAGCTCCACTTCAAGCTACGAGGCTAGCAGCAGCACTTCATCGTCGTATGAATCTAGCTCCACCTTAGGATATCCAACGTATCCGATCAGCTCTACCTCGGGCTCCAAGGCTACCAGCAGTGAGACTTCCTCTACACCAGGATATCCAACTTATCCGGTTAGCTCTACTTCAAGTTCCAAGGCCAGCAGTAGCAGCGCGACTTCATCCTCGTATGGATCGAGCTCTACACCGGGATACCCGACTTACCCAACGTATCCGATCAGCTCTACCTCGAGCTCCAAGGCTACCAGCAGTGAGACTTCCTCTACGCCGGGATATCCGACGTATCCGGTTAGCTCTACCTCGAGTTCCAAGGCCAGCAGTAGCAGCGCGACCTCATCGTATGAATCGAGCTCTACACCGGGATATCCAACCTACCCGACCTACCCGATTAGCTCCACCTCAAGCTCCAAGACCAGCAGCAGTGCGACTTCATCCTCATACGAGTCGAGCTCCACGCCAGGGTACCCAACCTACCCGCCCTACCCGACTTATCCGATTAGCTCGAGCGTCTCTTCGCCTACTCCGGGTGTTCCCTCGTACCCGGTCAGCTCTCCCTCTTTGAGCTCCACCACGAAGTACACTACTTCTACGATTTACAGCACGACAATCTACACGATTACTTCATGCCCTCCTGATGTCCCAGACTGCCCGGGCAAGACGACTGTGACGACTAAAACCATCCCTATTACCACGACTGTATGCCCTGTGACGACCACCCCCACAGAATATCCCACGGAATATCCCACAGAGTATCCCACAGAGTACCCCACAGAGTACCCCACGGAATACCCCACGGAATACCCTACGGAATACCCTACGGAGTATCCGACACCTACGAAATACACGACATCGACTATCTACACCACCACGGTGTACACTGTCACGTCTTGGCCGTACACTACCACGGAGACCATTCCGCTAACCACCACCGTCTGCCCTGTCACTTCCACCGAGGTTGTTACTGTTACCCCAACTCCACCGAAAGAGTACTCGACGCCGGTTCCCACGTACAGCAGCCTGACAACCGTCATCACCACCCCCAAGCCCCCGCCGTACCCCACCGGCAACGGGAGCAGCAGTGGCGTCCCCACGTACCCGACGTCTTCCGTCGGTACCAGCACGGCCGTGCCCCCGCCCGCGGCCTCCACGACGAGCAGCCGCCTGCCCATCGTCACGGCAGCCGCCGGGCGTGTGGAGCACGGCCTCGGGGCCCTGGCTGCTGCTGCTGCGGGCGTGGTCGCCGTCGCCATGTTGTGATGAGATGAGAGAGAATTACGAGGAGCCGCGGTTACAGCGGAGCGGGGGGGGGGGGGGTAAAAAAGGTATCGCAATGATTTAAAGGGGATAAGGGAGGAGGGGCGTAGATACATGGTGATGCATTCTACATGGCTGAGGAGGCGATAGCTTTCGCTGGCACACCCCCGCGTGCGCACAACATATACACACACTCTCCCTATAATAGCTCACGGCCTCGCACCACGACGGCACGGTCATTCCTAACAACTTAGTAGTGTATTTTAATAAACTCGATAGACTCTTCTTCTTCAACCTCAAGTCTTCAATCGACCCTGGTGCCGCTCCACGTGCACATATTAAGCACAAGCGCACACCCTCGCTTCCACGTTTCGTACAAGCAGTACCTATTAGACCCGTCGACTTGCGCGGGTTCCTTTCCCACTTCACCCCGCCACCGCAGCAAGAACAGAGGCGGCTTATCAGGACGTCGGAGCACACGGGGCACGCCAGCACACCGCGTACACTCACTTGCCTAATATTACACAGCGATGTATAGTACATGGCGCAGAGAGGAGTGGTGGTTCTTTCCCCCCTTTTTCTTTCCTTCTTTCCCTCCAGTTCAAATTCGGCCGTGTTTAATACCTGACAGTACCCACCTAGACCTGTTCCGAGAATCTCTCCAAAAGGGGGGGGGGAGGGGGGCATTCAGTCCGCCGCCCGGCATAGATAGCCACAGATCTCCCGCAAATTGTCCAAAAGATCCTCGACTTTGAGATAGATTTTTCTTTTTTTTTACTTATTATTACAATTCTTTACGCGCGCCTGGATAACGCGAAGTGGGGGACCGGAACCTTACCGGGGTGCCCGCGGCCGGCTAGCTAGCTAGCCAGCCTCTCCGGCGGCGGGAGCCGCAACTCAGATGCGGCGGACGGGGTTGTCGTGTATGTTGCCGTGCATCTTGTTCATGTGGGAGTAGCAGTCCTTGTCGACGGGGAAGGTGGCGAGGCAGATCCAGCAGATGTGGATGCCGCAGCCGCGGCAGGTCATGTGGTTGCAGCCCTCGGTCTTCTCGATGGACGTCGCGCAGCGCGGGCAGTCCTGGATGCCGAGCTCGGCCTTGATGCGGTGCAGCGCCTCGTAGCCGCCGGTCGCGTCGCCCCGGTGCTCCGCGCACGTCCTCCCCGGGTGCGCGCAGTGGCACGCCGGGCAGACCGCCGCCAGGCACCTCGTGCACGTGAACGTCGCCGGCGTCTCGCGGCCCCCCGCCGCGATCCGGTAGATCTGGCTGCAGTCCGGCGTCGGGCAGTACCGGAAGTCGGCCGGGTGCCGCCGGACGTACGACGCGAAGGACGCCTCGAGCATCTGCTCGAACACCTGCGACGGCAGGTGCTCCTGGAGCTCCGACAGCGCGAACGCGTTCTTGCACCTGTCCTCGTCTCCCTTGCACGAGATGCAGAAATCCTGCGAGTCCAGCGGCCCCGACAGGCACGTGTCGACGAAGCAGGCGCCGCAGTAGAAGTGGCCACAAGAGGTGCGAACGGGCTCCTCGGCCTCGCACCAACATATCGCACACTGCGGCTCGGACGAGCTGGTAAACGCGGGCTCTACCTCTCTGTTATAGACGATGTCTTGGGCCCTGGCGCGGTCGTCCGGGGATCCACGGACGAATAAGCGCCTGCGAGACGACGGAAGGACCCAGCACGGGACGCCGTTGAGTCGGTGCCGGAGCGTCCCGAGCCCGCCTCGGGATACCCACTCGGACTCGTCTGCACTGAGGTAGATTATGTGCAAATTGGCATCGAGCTCGTGGATGAGTGCCTGGAGCGCTTGGGCGGCCGGTTCGTAGCTCTCCGGGGGGCCGAAGAATCGGAACTGCGACTTGCACATATCGCGGGTGATGACGACGTCGAAATCCTTCTCTATCTTCTTAATCCTGTTCGATTCTCCTCCACCGCTGGCCAGGTTGGCGTACCAGAGATCTTTCCCGTCTATCCTCATAACCTCGCCGCTGATTATGCGTTCCAGGGCTTCTTTGGCTTCCGCCACTCTCCGGTGGTTCTCGCCTTCCAATTTCAGGTTACGATACGCGCCTCGAGGAGGGTATGCGATGAAGTGTAAATGCTGGGTTTCCCAAGCTGCCTTCTGCGTATTGAGCAGACCACTGATAGCATTATAAACTCGCGTCGACACTTTGAATTTGGCCGAGGTTACCAGCCTCAGTGTGAGCCTTACGGACTCGCAGAACGACAGCGGCGTATTGTTTAGAGAGGATACGGCATCTCGCGCGTGGGGCTCCTCGACGAAACTCCCCTGAGCTTTGACGCGTTTGCCCTTCGCATTATCAGACACATCCCACCACTCCAAGGGCCCGAACTCGAGCAGCATCGACTTGACGATGACGGATTCTATTTCTGCGTCAGAGACGTAGGTTGGGTCGCCCATGTCAACCAGCATAGGCCGGTCGGGCACAGAGATGACGCCGAGGAGATCCGACTCCTCTGCCGTGCCAGGCAAGCCAGTCAGCCTCACCTCCCAGGACTGCGGATTTTCTAGGCTGCCCTGCCTAGTTGGCGTGCTGGCCGTGAGCCTGCAATCGGATATTTTGTATTCGCCACAATTGAATTTCCTCTGCACTCGATAGGCTATCTTGTCGGTTTCGAAGTAGAGCTGTGCGGTGCGAGATGGGCGGTGCCAGGAACAGCGCACCCTCCTACAGTCGACTTGGTGGAGGCTCGAGCCCGGCGGCATGGGCACGGGTATGGGATTGGCCTCGATGTCGGCAAAGGCGATGCAGGTGCGCAGCTTGTTGCAGATGGTCTTAGCAAGCGTGGGATCTTCGACTCTGATGATGGCGCTCTTGGCGTCCTGGCCCGTGATTCTAACGTTCGTGGGAGATACCGATACCCCCACATCAGATAGCAAGTCTATCACCCACCGTAGCGTGCTGGCTTGGGGAAGGTTGCTGATACGGAGGGCGGAGAAGTCAGAAGGGAGGGATACCTTGGAGATTGTGGCCCCGTTGTCAAATGTCACCCAGGCCCCTCCGATCTCAAAGATGGAATTGTCACTGGACAGATCATCCTAGAGCGCACGAACTCGTCAGCGGATCAGGGGGTTGGGTGACATCATAGGATGGCATACCCCAAACATTCCTCTCTGCCCACCTCCCTCTCCCGCCAGGCCGTCCTTAGAATGCAAAAACAGGCAGGCATCTCCCTTCTTGCAGTGCCCATTCGCAAAGAACCGGCATACTCCCCGATGCCTTGGCGGCGCAGGGGGGGCTGCGGGGGTCGCAGTCCGGTCGTGAGAGAACCGACAGGCGTCTCCCCGCGCGCAGGTGCCACGAGCAAAATATAAACAGGGTGGCCGGGTCCTGGGCTGTCGGTCGTTTTCTCGCGGCCTGGCCCGGGGGGGCGAGTAGTCTCGTTCTACGAAGTGTCGGGGTATATACTGGTACTGGAACTGGTTGGAGGTCAACGAGGGAACGCGAGGAGTGGGGGTAATCTCGTACTATATTTGGGGGTGTTTCTGGTCGGGGTGGCTCTTGGCTCGGAGCGCCGAATATGTTTCCCATCTTCATGCAGAATACCGGCGGTGGTTACTACGCGGTAGGCAGCAGGCGGCGAGAGGCGGGAGCTCGTGGCGGGGAGGGGCGTTGCTTTTCTTATATCTCGGTGCGTGGAGGACCGGTCATGTGGCCGGGCAGCGAATGGAACGTGCCTCTCGACGCTGCGACGGTGCTGTAGACAGGTAGGCTGCCGTCGTGGCTGATTGGCCCGATCGCCTATGCGGCCACGAGGTCGCTGCGGGAGCGTCGTTATCTCGGGCCACTTACCGGCGGGCAGCGATGCCCGAGAGAGGTGTCTGTTTACCCAGGCTAGTCAGGGCCTGCCACATCAGCCGAGGGGGGCTATGGGAGAGGGGTACGATGGAGAAGGGGGCGGGGAGGGGGGGATGATGATACTGCGGATGGTGTTGTTGGCGCTGCTGTTGGCGAATATTGTTGTGGGGGGATTCTGGGTGGCGTCCGTCGGACCTGCGAGGCCGCAAGCAATAAGGGACGCGAGCAAATACCTACCTGCTCGAGGTGTTACAGCTTATGCCTCTCGCATTCCCGCCTGCTTTGGAGCATCATGCTGATGTTTGAATGTGGAAGTTTTAGCCGTGATGCAGACCACGAGCCTGAGTCAACGTCGTATTGCTCGACAGGCAACTGTTGGACGTGTACGAGAGGCGACGCAAGTGGACGGTAAATATGCGTTGTCACCTACAAATCACCTACAGGTCACCTACAGGTACCCCCTACATACGATACCTCCCCTCCTACCCCCCCTTTCCCCCTCTTACACAAGGTACAGGACCCTAGCTAGAGGTGCCTGACCGGCTGCCTGACCTGCTCCCCGGCCGAGACATGCCTACATTGGATACCTTACGGGTACGTAACATAAGACAGATGATGCCCGGGCATAACACCATAGGTACCTAAGGCAATGCCTTACTTACCTTACCTACCTAAGTACACGCCAGCTGAGGTTGCTCATCTCCTCCTCCTCCTCCTTAGGTACTCATATGCCTCAGTTGTTAATATATGCGTGTCGGATTCGCGCCCTATTCTTGTCCCTCGCCTTATTTTCCTGCTGCATACAGATTCTGCGTCTTCTCCCTTTTGCGTTCATACCCATGCGTGTCGTACAAAACGTCCAGGTTCGGGGCTGCATTACGGCGAGACGTTGCTGGGTTAGCATTCCGCGGAGATCCATCGGCGTCTTTATGCTCTACAGGATTATGGTCCGGGAACGAACTGGGGGAAACATGGAAGACAATCTTGTGACCCCATGGCGTATTCTGCGCGTAGAAATAGACGCGGAGTCTAAACAGAGAAATTCTCGGAACTAGGTTATCGGATACCGGAGGCATTCGTAGTTACAACAACACGACGACGACTGTTGTGATTACTAAGAGTGAGAAGCTGTTGCTATAGTCCACGTTAACTTCTTCATAAAATAGTAAGGGACATGGGTGCGCCGAACGGGGGAATCCACATGCGGTTGACTGTAGACGGGGAAGTAATATAGGGCTAGTACGGTGAACTAGCAGTAGGGGCGGAAGTAATATCACCCATCCCCTAAGCAACATAGAAGCCAACGTAGCAAGACAGTAATATTGATTAGCCCAGCGGTTTGGCCGGGTAGGATACAAGTTGCCGGACTGGCGATCGAATAATTCCCGAGCCGATAAGAGGTTGTAAGGGCTAGTGAGTGAAGTAATTACCCGTCTCAGTGGTTAATATCAGCCGGCAAGCCACAGGTGTTAGGCCAAGGAGGAGATATAGAAAGACGAATACAACATCGACAGGGTGTATCGAGACTCCCACTTCACAGCGGCAAGTAATACTACCAATCCCGGACCTACGAGGGGCATTTAGCAAAGAGTCCGAATCAGTGGGAGTAGCAGTTCGGTAGACAGGCCGACATTGGATCCGCCGATCCGGTGCGAGGCGCGCTAGTGCTATTTATTAATATTACCCACGTAGCCCGGCCCCGCCACCACCGCCGCCGTCCCGCCGCCTCGCTTACCTCCGCACGCGGCACTGCGCCGTGGCGGAAATACTCGGGTCCGACTCCGACGTCGCCGTCAGCGTCACCACCCCCGTCGTCGCCGCCGCGCCCTCTGCCGCCGCGCCCACCGCCACGTTGACCGTCTTCCACTTGCCGATCTCCACCGCCGCCAGCGCGTTCGGCAGCGCCACGCGCCACCCCGCGCCCTCCACCGTCGCCTCCAGCCGGTAGATGTCCGAGTTTAGGTACGCCGTTAGGTCCTGCGGGTGCGCCGGCGCCGAGTCCTCCTCTGCGCTCGCTGCTGCCGCTGCTGCTGCCACGGCCGGGTTCGCCAGCCGGAACGCGCACGTCACGCCCCGGCCGGACGCGGCGCCGGCACGCGGGCCCTCGGCGACCTTTCCGGCGCTGAGCTCGACGCCGCGCGTCTTGCCGCCGGCGCCGCTCGCGCCGTCGAGCGAGCGCACGCCGACGGTGTAGCGCAGGACGCCGGCGGCGTCGCGGCGGACGTCGACGACGTAGAAGTGCAGGCGGTTGGCGGCGTCGACGTGCTCGAACCGGCTGCCGGAGCGGGTGCCGGCGTGGAAGAGCGCGTCGGCGAGCTGGCGGTAGTCGCCGACGGTGAGCGGGGCCGCGGAGCCGTCCGGCCGGTAGAAGTCGACGGCGCCGATGTCCTGCGGGTTCGCGTCGACGGTCCACTGGAACGGCGCGCGGTCCACGTCCTTGGTCTTGCTGATCATCACGCCCGCGTCCGGCTGGAACGAGTCCGCGCCCATGCGGTCGACCACCTCCAGGTCGTAGTTGTTGTACCCGCCGCCGTCGCAGAACGCGTCCGCGCTCGTGTCGCAGCCCGGCGACAGGTCCTGCCCCAGGACCACGTGCACGCCCATCAGCTCGCCCGGGCCCGGGTCCACGCAGCGCGCCGTGATCTCGGCGACGACGGGGCCCGACGCGGCGAGCGCGTCGCGCGACACGAACAGCACGCTCGAGTTCGCCACGAGCCCGATGCGCATCTTATCGCCCATCGTGTGCAGCGAGCCGAGCGCGCCGCCCTGCGTCGAGGGGATCTCCCACCGCGTGTGCGGGCCGCCGGGCCCGTTGAAGCTGCCGCGCGACAGCATCGACCAGGGGCCCGTGTAGGCGCGGCGCGGCGGGCTGCCGTACGGGTTGTTGTAGTTGTCGCCGATGCCGAGCAGGTGGGACAGCTCGTGCGCGTACGTGGCCATGCCGGAGCTCTCGGCCTGCGTCGACGAGCCGCCGCCCGCGTTGGGCCAGATCACCGACGCCGCCGCCCACGACGTCCAGTCGACGTACCGCGTGTTCGCGTAGTTCGGCAGCGCGTCGTCCGGCGGGCCGAACTCGTCGGGGACGTCCTCCGGCCGCAGGAACTTCATCTCGCCGAACTCCTGCCACGTCGACGACTCGTCCTGGCCCGCCGATAGGATGAACACTAGCTCGAACGCGTCCGCCGTCTCGTTGCCGACGTCGGCGCGCCAGGCTCCCAGCGCGTCGGTCCTGAGGTCGACCGAGCAGGGTCCCTCGGATGGACACGCCCCCTCGTTGAACCCGCCAGGCCTGTCGTCGATACCGTACTGGTACGACTTGCTGGGGAGTCGGTAGGCACCGAAGGCGGTTAGATCGACACCGAAGCGACCACCCGAGTCCTCCATCCAGTACTCGTGCAGCGTGCGGTTATGGTTGAGGTCGCTGGGGAAGTTGAGAAAGTCGCGGTAGAAGGCCGGTACGTCCGCACGGTCGAGCTCCGACTTGCTCGGCTGGGGGTTGGAGAACACGCTCGACCCAGCCGGCTGAGTGATGACGAAGGGCTGGTCTGGGTAGTCGACGGCTACGAGCGCGATGTTGAAGTTCCTCACGGAGCCCTTGCGGGTCGGGTCGGACCATGACGTGCCCGGCGGACTCCTGTAGTCGGCCCAGGTCATGTTGTCCGGGTTGACCCAGTTCTGCGGGTCGAGCACCTTGAACGGGTCGCTCTGAGGGACGCGAGGTGCCGCCCAAGAGTGATCCGCAAGCAGTAAGCCAGCCAAAGCGGTCTTCACGACCGCTCGGCAGCTCATGCTTATGTCGATGCGCAGCATGGTCACGATACTGCTTACGCTGGAGCAGGACCAGAAGCGAGTTGGGCGTAGAGTATCGCACACTCGACCGCGCAGAGCGTGAAGAGGGGGAGCAGGTCAGGAACAGCGATCAAGGGCACCGGCGGTATTAATACAGCCTCCCCTGCCCCCCCAGGAGAGACTAGCCACCCGCGGCCATGGCTACCCCATCGGCTGCGTTGCCGGTCGCGAGAGAATAGTCTCGGCTCATTCATCCCTAGGTTGCCGAAAACGACGACCATCGTTAACAATCCAGAGTCAGAATGCAGGTCCACAACACTCTCAATTCGCCCGGAACCCCAGGATACCACGCCAGAAGCACCGTGATTCCCCTCGCGTGATCGCTCGCGGTAGGGGAGATTGTGCGGAGACTAGCCAGGGGAACCGCTGGCTTATCACTGCGACCTGCTGCATTGGGTAGGTAGGTATTTGGGGTCTTCAAGACTTGGCGAAGATAGGAAGCTCAGTTCCTACGCGACGCCACAACAGCACATCAGATGCGGGGGACCCGGCCAGCACATGGATGTTATTATGGCTCAGTGGCTTCAGCATGCACGTATTCAAATTGCTACCGTGTTAGACTGATGGTCAACCAAAATAGTGCCCAACAAGACGCGGGAACCTATGTATGAACCCGAATAGTCTTACTGTCTGGTTGAAGGCGGCTAGGTAGAGAAAATTTGGATCAATAGAACACGATGAGCGGGATTCGTTGTTAGGCTTCCGACGGGAAGGGCAGGTCTAATGTGTGGGCAAAGTCGTATTAGAAAGGGGAGGCGGGGAGTCGAGAATGACAACACTGTGGAGTAGAATGTAGCCAGAAAAAAAAACCCCTCCGGCTTTCAGCGTGTTTCTTCTTTTGTTCTCATATTATCATTATACTTTTGCCTGTTAAATAACATGAGATCGCATTAAGGGGGAAGAGGGAGCTGGCCAGCTCTAAGCAAATACCAAGTATGCCTCGATGAGCCCGCATCCCGCAATCGACGCGTCCACTCTATTAATTCTACCCGATACCTAACCTATGCTATCGGAAACCGGCACGGGACTATAACTAACACCGCCCTCAGGCTTCGCAGCATCGTTGCCTGGCTCGGTGGTTGACGCCGGCCGGTCGGTGGAGGGGGTAGAGCCCGTTGCGGGGGCGCCCGTGCTAGTCGCGTCGGCAGCGGGCGCGGTGGTAGTCTGGAACTGGGCCGCGTAGTCGGAGAGCGCGGGCGCGGGAGCGCAATCCATCGAAGCCAAGTCGTCCTGCCAGGCGGAGAGGTAGTCCGACACGCCCAGGGTGGCCTTGAAAGCGTTCGGGTCGAGCTTCTCGACGCCGGCGGTGACGACGAGCGGGACGCTGAGCCGGGCCTGGTCGCAGCTCTGGACCAGCAGGTTCCTCGTGACCGACACAGACTCGGCGTCGACGCCATCGATCGCGCAGGAGGCCATCTTCGCGCCCCGGGCGGCGCAGTCGCGGCAGTCGCCGAGCGCGCACATCCACGTCATCGTCTGACCGAGGCCGCGCGTGGTTATGGCGCCGCCGTACACGGAGCCCTGGATGTGATGGGCATCAGCTGGGTAGATGCTCAGCGCGCGGCACGCGTCGTTCTCAGGCGGGTTCTCGGCTGGGCAGTCTACCACATACCTCACGACGGGGTAGATGTCGACGTTGCCGTCGATCACCCTCCCCGTCCTAACGACCGACGCAACGAGGCTCGCTGGCGCCGGTGCGAGATTCTAGAACGGCGTGATCGTCTGGGGCCTCCTGCGCTGCGACGCGCCGACTGTCGAGTGGGGCGGCCGTCGAGAGGACAATGCCGAGGACTCGGGGTGCTGGCGAGGGTGTCATCGTGGCACGTAGTAAATGATGGTGATGGTGATAGCGAGAGACATGACTGGGGGTGAGGATCGGAACCGCGGTGATGGCGTCGAAAACGGGCGTGTTGAGGATGATCAGCAACGCAATCACGCTAGAAAGCAGCCGGAATCCGGGGCTGAAGCTAAGTTTATAAGGCTGGGCTGCCAAGATGCAATGGTCTTTCAAGGGGCTTGATATTAAATTTCGAGTTAACCCGCAATGCCAATAACCTGGACGACACGTACACTGCGCGGTGGTGCATCGTCAGTTTCCTCGCTTGACCGATGGTTTATTAATGCTTCCCAATGCTTGGCGCGCCAACCCACGACCTTCGCGAGGGGACTTTTTTCTTCTTCATAATATCGCATTTGAAGCTTGATCCGGCCCAGGGGGAGATGGCTAAGACTGCTGCCTACGGGTCTACTTCGACGGGGGATTTCAGAATGCCTCAGTGCGTCATTACAAGATGGCCGAAGGGGAGTATAAGGAAAAGATGATAGAGAAAAAAGATGATTGTATACATAGCTATGTATATTGAATAGATGGCGAGACTGCTCATTTTAGACTTGCTGATCTATAACCACCTGTTGCAAAGCGGCATCGTTGGGCAGAAACAGCCATATAGGGACGCGGGATACTGACACGTAATATGCGTTGAACGCCCTAGATAAGTATATTGATGCCCCATAGAGCAACAATGCCCGATATACCTACTCGTCTGCCGTAGCCGTACTATCCAAATCGACAAGACTTAGAGGCAAGACCGTCGAATAGACAGCTTCTACGTAACGTCTTACAAGCCATCGTCAATGCTGGGAGCTTCACTACAGGTGAGTTCCTCGGGAAGGATTGCCTATCCGGTCTTCGTTGTTTATACCTACTATAAGCTCCTTTGAGAAACTCACACATAAGCTACTTACGTATGATAAACAGGCATTGCATAATTAACGCGAGATCGTAGTTGACCAGGCCAAGTTAGATTTTAATCTCGTTCAAGGTTATTATCCGTAATAGCACGGGCCCAAGTTTCAGTCTCTGAACCTGTTCATGTCCCTCATCCGTGTAGACATGAGAGTCGGCATTGTGAATTTTGACTCTAATATCGCCTGTAGCAACGTAGTGTCTAGTGTCGGGTCCGAATTGCAACATTAAACTGCGTAGACGAGGAAACCCGAGCGTCAATCGCCAAAGATTCCCTACCTGGATGCCGGCTTCCCGCCCTGGCCCTTCCCAGGGGCTGCGGCAAACTTGGCTCCCCATTTCTCCTCCTGCTTGAAAATAGCTAAGCAATTGAGCGCAGAGGGCGAGCCGTACTCGGGGTCCGCGCCCCCTGCTAACAGCGCCTGAACCGTGGGGATATGGTGAGAATCTAAGGGCCTCGAGCAGGCCGGGGTGCTGGCCCGCGACGGAGAAATACTTACCTCGACCACCTCATCCTCGTTCTTGAAAACGGCGCCAGCCAAGGGACTCTGCCCCTTGTCGTTGACACGGTTGGGGTCTGCCCCATGCTGGATGAGCAGCTTGACAAGGTCGGCATGCCCGTGGTAAGCGGCAAGCATCAGCTGTTGGTACGAGCGGATGGAAACTCGGTCGTCAGCAATCAGAACGTTCACTCGGCGGGTAAAAAGTGATTGTTGACGCACTAGGGTGTCGCCTTTCTCGTTGGTTAGGTTGGCGGGAAGGCCGGCGGGTAGTGCCTGTTCGAATATGTCTCGGTCTCCGGCCCGGGCTGCGTTGTACATCCGGCCGGCGAACTCGATAGCCTCGGGAGGGAGGGACCGCAGTGCTGAGCCGTCTCCGTCCATCGGCGAAGAGAGGAGTAGAGAAACCTGACGATATCTCGAGGCGTTCTTCTAGAAGAGCCGGTAATTGTAGACCTAACTATACGTGTCTAGGAGATGCATCTTAGGAGAGAGCGGAGACGATCGATGTTGGAAACCGCAAGGAGGTTGGAATTAATCCAGGTACAGCGATAGGGTACCTACGTATCTTTCGTTCGGTGATATCCCCTCGGCTGGCACAGCAGGCCGCGAAACCCGGCGTAGACGGCAACGAAAGAAGGAAACGAGATGATTCTCGACAGAGCAGAGCCCTGAAAGTTGATAAAGAAAACAAAGCTGATAATGAAGTCCGGGCGGCTGTTTGAAGGGTGGAAGTGAACTGAGGGGTCGAGACAGGATAATATAGGACAGGACAGGACGGGGAGGAGGGGAACGACGGCGTCAGTTGTTACGGTAACATAACGTGAAGCGTCCGGTTACCTGTGCGGAGTTACCCTCCGCTATGAACGCTGAACGCGTCTTCCCCTGGGCTGCCCATTGCTGGCTCGATTTTACGATTGGTGGTATCTCCTCACTGGCAAGGGAAGAAATTGGAGGTGATGTACTGTGGCAGGTTAGGTACCTGAGGCGGGCGTATCTCGACGTCATGTACCTATCGGACCTATGTCGTCTCTTGTTCTTCTCTTGGAGCTCCTTGCTGCATTTACGCTTGCATCGGCCGGGGTTCCTAGGATGGACCGTGGATCGGTCGTGATACTCGTCGGATAAATTGAGGTGTTCATGTATAGGTATAGGTATCTAGGTCGGTATATTGGAGATGAGCTAAGTAGCGAAGACTACCAAGTAGCGCTGTTAGGAATCGAATCTATCCTTCGTTAAGTAACCTACTGATCTATTAGGCAACGTTTTCGACAGTTTGGATGCGTTCTCGTAACGAATGTATGCGCCTAAGGGTGTAATTCGTAGGTACCTAACCTGGGTACCTAAGGTTAGTGCGGCTTGAGCTTGGGAGGTACCTCTATAGTAGACGTCGGAGCTGTGTGCGGGCGGACGACACCCTATCGATAGGTACCTATATAGGATCAATGAATATCCCCACTCCCGCACCGCGCAGACTTTTCTCTGGCTGTGAGCTCTGCTTACCTATTTAGATATTGCTGTATGCCCTGTTACTGACCTATACCTTAGGTACCTTACCTAATACCTACTGCGTACCTCGGTCTACTCTCTCGACAGAAGCTCCAACATCTTCCAAAGGCCATTTCTCTCGACAGGTTATACCGACCGCCTGTTGTTCGGTCGGAATTGTAGCCGTCCAGTATCTGGGATCGGCAACGGCACGCATCGTCGATAGCCATACCGGATCATAGCCGTCAGACCCCGTCCTCATTTGGTCATTCTGCCAACGTACCCAAACCCAACCTGCCTCGCCTGCTCTGAAAATGCCGCCGCGGTTAAGTACGCGCCTGGCTTCTCCGGCTATCCGTCTTATTCGCCTATACTCCAGCGACGTTGCGCCCCTAGTTAGAGTCACGAATCTACCCGCGCCGAACACGGGTCACGTTCGTATTCTCGAGCTCAACCGTCCCGACGCCCGCAACGCCCTGTCCAAAGCTCTCGTGACCGCGCTACGGGCTGAGATAGACAAGGTACGGGGGCAATATACGGGCGATGGTCAGGAGCTACCGCCGCCACGGCGCTTTGGAGGGGCCGCTGGCGTAGACCAAAAGGGCCCGACGAGAGCGTTGATTGTGGCCAGCGCTATCGATACGAGTTTCTGCGCAGGCGCCGACCTTAAGGAGAGACGCGGGTTCACACAGGAAGAGTGAGTATATTCAAAATTACCCACACCTCTCAGAGGACCTGGCCCTGTCGCTACGTGCACCATCAGCACCTTATTCCTTCACGAAGGACTAGTTGAGCTGATGCCGGATAAATTTGCCCCGTCTCCAGAACAAAGCAATTCCTGAAGGATCTCCGGAACACTTTCACGGCCCTCGCGTGTGTCCCCATACCAACCATCTCCGCCGTTTCCTCCCTCGCCTTCGGCGGCGGCCTCGAGCTGGCGCTCTGCACCCACTTCCGAGTGCTCGCCTCGACGGCGATGGTAGGGCTCCCCGAGACGAGGTTGGGCATCATCCCAGGCGCCGGCGGCACATATCGTCTGCGATCGGTGATCGGTCCTCAGCGCGCGCGAGACCTCATAGTCACCGGACGGCGCGTCGCTGCCCAGGAGGCTTACTTCCTCGGACTCGCCGATCGGCTGGTGGAAGTGCTACCGGAAGACGAGCGCGACGCCGTTGCGCAGGAGGAGACGGCAGAAAACAGGGAGGCGAATGAAGACGGATTGCCCACACGAGCGCGGAAGGCGGCGCTCTCGGAGGCGGTAAGGCTCGCCTTCGAGATCTGTGAGGGTGCCCCGATCGCAATAAGGACCGCTCTGCAGGCGGTAGCCTGGGCCCGGTCGGAGATTGAGGACTCCTTGTACGAGAAGGTGGTGACGACGGAAGATCGGAACGAAGGACTCATTGCCTTTCATGAGAAGAGAAAGCCAGTCTTCAAGGGGCGGTAAACCGGCTACATCCGTACCGGATCCCCACGTAGGCGGCGGAAGATGTGCCAATCGAGAAGTCATCGCGTCTACATTTACCTACAGCGTGGGTATTGCCTAGAAACGAAATCAGAGACGCAGGCCAAAGCCCAAGCCTCCCACTTATGACCGCTCTCACCGGCCAATTTTGTCAATTTCATAGCCATGATGATGCTACCGTCATGCCCAGGAACTTGCCTTCTAGGGTTAGATACGCAGAGAATGGCGAATTGACTGTTGGTAGCTATCAGCTTTTACAAGCTCGATCGATGAGCTAGTTGCGCGGCTCATTACTCGATGGGGGTTCTTTATCCCGCAAGTCCTGTCCCTAAAACATCGCCCATGGCTTCCTAGCGCATGTTATCGTGCCCCAAGTCCCCAATTCGGTAGGATAATCGCTCTCTTGTTACGTTTAAGCTGTGCTGCGTGGTCTGGAGCTCCGCGTGGATACGCAAGTGGCGCATGGCTAGGATGCCTGAGCTTCCCCCCTCCTTGATCCCGTCTCCTCATCCGACACCCCGAGCATCGACCACTGTTGAGACAAAAGGTAAACCATTGATTGAGGTGATGTCATTCAGACAGGGGCCACGGACAGACAAAAGCAGACAGTAGACAATTCGACCGGAGGATTTATGTTTATCAAGCCTGCACTCGTTAGACCAACGTCCCACCTCTGTCACCTGGCGCTGCCCTTCTCAGAAATCGCGCCGAATTACCTATGTGCCGGCATTATCCCCACCAACCGAAACGCAATTTCACAGCTCCAAGACAGATAATATGGGAGGCGAAGAGGTAGAGACCGGAGACCGAGGTAAGCACCCACACACTCTGTCGAGAGATATTCAGTGTTAAAGGCCACTGCGCCTGAGACTGTGCCCCAAGCCCTGTCGCCAGTTCCTAACTTCGCTCTCTTTCCCGCAACACAGTGTCGTGGAAGTGGGGTGGCAGCGCCCCCGGGGGCACAGTGGCCGAGACGGCAGACCGCGGTGAGCTCGCGGTAACGTCGCACCGGGGCAACACGATCGCGAAGACGGCGCGGCCTGGCAACCCAGTCGTGCGCATCGAGCGGTCCGGCAACGACGTCGTCAAGAGGGTGTCGGAGGTGACGGTGGAGAAGAAAGGAGCTGATAGGAAGCGCAAGGCGGGGACTCAGGCTGCTGCAGAGGGCGAGGGCGAAGAGGAGGGCGGGGAACCAAGAAAGGGGGAGAAAGGGGGCGAGGAAGGGGAGGGGGAGGGGAATGACACTGGGGATTCGCCTCGCGTCGCTAAGGACGGACCCGCAGCGAACAAACGGCAGAAGCACGATGAAGCCGACGATGGGAGGGGTGAGGTCGAGGAAGACGCAAGCGTAACTGAGGCAGCAACCGGGGTGGTGGATGAAAGCGAGGGGGTAGACGACGACGAAGTAACCGACTCGGCGTCGGACGAAACAGAGGAAGAGGATGTAGACTATGAAGGAGGGACTGAGGACGAGGAGACCGACTACGAAGAGGAAGAAGGAGAGGACGAGGATGACGGCTCTGGCGACCGGCGACCGGGGCAGCACCGGAGCCGTGTTTAGGCGTACATACGTAGAGAAGCTACTGGTGAGGCGAGGCGAAGGTATGCGACGTTGGTGATATAAACACCGGGCCGTAGAGGTGCCGGAATACTTCTGCGACGTCTTTAGATAAGCCACTTGTACCTATGCCTCTCTGTTAATTCCCCGTATCATCTCCGGCTGCTGCAGGCTTTATCAACTGCCTAAATGTCTAACCAGGTTATCATGTCGGATCTGAGCCACGTAGAGAGGACAGCGGAGACCCTCTCATATCGAACGCATAACACGAAGAAGGTAACGAGAAACACCGACTGTCGGCCCCGCCACCACCCGGCGATACCCTCGATATGCTTCGACGGCCCGCCAACATCGAAAAGAGAATAGGGACGATACCAGGCCACAGGTACTCGCCAACACATTGGCGCACCATCCCCTGTAAATTGCGTTTTCTCGGCAGCCGCCTCGACGAGACCTACCTAAGGTATTGCTGAACGGTGTGCGGATGTAGTCGTGTTTGGGGCACAGTAAATCAAGCCATTCACAGGGCAATTTACCGGTATTAATACCTGCGTGTGGATAGTCTAGGGCAGGGCAATGCTGGTGTACCCACCGAATATATCCATGTACGTGGGCGCCTACTAATTTATATTTAGCCATCCCACCCCCTACGAATTCCATCCTTCTCCACGCCGCTTGAACTCCTCTGTTTCGAAACAATCCGACGATGAGCGCGACGGCATCCTTCTATTCTCTTATCCACCAACGCACCCACCCGCGGCCCAGGTGACCTGAAAGAGTCGAAGAGAAAAAAAAAACTTTTGTAGGGTTCTATTCTGGGCCGTCTATTCCGCGATGTGTTCCGCACTCGTACGAGCATCCTACCAACACGCGATAACGTCGAGACATCAGCTGTAGGCCGGTGCGCCCTTCGCTGTCGGGTCCGATCCGCCTGCGACAAATCGCCGGGGGTTGACCGTGTGCTGGGTGGGCTGCTGCGCTCCACGGTTGCGAACACGCTCGAGCACAGCATCCTCGCGCTACTCAGGCCTACCGAGGGCGGTTGCTGTGGAACGGAGGTGTCCCGCACCCAAGGAGCCGAGTTGAGGACCCAGTGGCTAGGGCAGTCCAAAGTGAGTGCTGACACGCACGCTGGCGAGGAGGTCAAGGCCATGAAATGTCCCCGTCGTGGATTCCCGGCCGAGGACGACGACCCCGCGAGGGCTGGCGCCATTCACTGCGAAATGACTCGCATGCTGAATCCCGGGACACGCGACCACGCGGCACCCATGGCATCTTCAGCCCTACATAGGTCAGAGAGTGGCCGAAATAAGAGCACGCAATCTATTCTCTACACGACTTGCCGTGATGGGTAAATGGCAGTTGGCCCTCGTCGCCTCATCGACCCAAGGCTCTTCGTTTCCCCCGCAGTTCTACGATAACGAGCACTACTGAGAAAGCGCTTCTGGCCAGCGTGTGGCGTGACAGGCAAGTCTTCTCGCGATTCCGGCATCAGAGAATCCAGTCAATCGAAAGACGATCCTCAGTTTCGAAACTTATATATACGAATGCGTAAAAAAAACCATCGCGTTGCTCGAAAAATGCTATATACACGCAAGTACGATATCTACATAAAAAGACAGGAGAAGCTATATACAAGGTGGCGGAGGTCATGAACTCGTGGCGCTGGTTTCGGGAAGGGGGAAGGGGTGCGGGAACTGGCGCTGTGTGGCGTGAGGATAATTGATGAATGGCTACACTGTCTCTCCCTATTTCGCGTCTCCGGGACCTCGCAGCCTGGGCGAGTAACGGAGGGAGTAGTCAGTCAGGATCGGCTCCGATGGAGACGATTAGGTGGCAAATCCGCCGATGGTCATGTGCAGGAGCTTGGGGTTGGCGCCGGATACGACACCGGCCTCGTTCTGGCCGTCGGGATTGACGTCGTCGTAGGAGAAGGCGTAACCCTTACCGTCGATCTCGTACTTGTGCACCAGGCGCGAGTAGTGACTCGTCGGGTCGGCGGTGTAGTAACTGTCTGCGCCGAGAGACGGCTGCACGTTACCCCCGTCGACAAGGAGCGTCGTGCGGTAGAAGGCGGCGCATAGCCGCGGCACCACTGCCTTGTGTACCGCGTTGTCCTCCTCGCGGATCCCGAACGGGCCCGAGTTGCAGCCCCAGATGTCGAGCACCGTCGGCTTCACGTAGCCACGGTTGTCGCCCTCGCACTCGAGCGCCTGGCCGTTGACGCGACACGCCACGTTGCCCGCGTCCGTCTGGGTGTTGATCGTCAAGTCCTCATTGCTGTACTTCTGCCACACCTTCTCGATGTAGTCCTCATAGTACGTCTCCATCGCCGTCGGTTCGAGCGACAGGTACAAGTTGGGCGAGAGCACGCGCAGCGGCTTGCCGTCCTTGTCTGTCACGCACAGCTTGTCCCACGGCTGGCCGTCCTGGGCCGCCTGGTCGCGCAGGTCGTTGCAGATGTCGGTGATGGCGTTCTTGCGTAGACCTATGACGTCCTGGGTGCGGCCGTCCTGGAGAGTCAGGGTCATGCCGATGACGAGGCCGACGAAGTCGACGAACGAGATGTTGGCGAAGATGCCGCTGTCCTTTGTGTTGGTTAGCTCGACGAAGCCCCAGTTGACGGCGGATGACGGGTCCGAAGGGTTCGCCGCCGCTGGCTCGACGATGACCGCCTTGCCGTTCCCGTCCACCACGGTGAAAAACTGAAGCTCGCCCTCGGCGATCCAGACGCGGCCAGAGCTGAGAAAGTCGGGAAGGTCGAACCCGGTGGTCTGGCCTGCTCCGTTTAGGGGGATGGCAACGTTGCCCTCTATAGCCACGGGAGTCTGGCTCCCTTTCGGGTCGGGATACAACCAACCTCCGTCGGCCGAGAGCATCACGACCGTCCCGGAGGGGTCTAAGCCGGTTACGTATGCGTTGAGCTGGCCGCCGTCGAAGTTGTTATAGAAGGAGAGCGTGAGCGGGGTCTTGTCATCGGGGACTTCGAGGGCCTCCGTGCCGTTGATCGTGTTCGCCGCGGTGACGATCACGTCCTTCTCGTTTCCGGGGGTCACGACGATTGGTATAGCGAATGTTTCGGCGAGAAACGTCGCGGCGACAGCCACGGCGAAGCTGAGAGAGTAATGCATGGTCGCGTGTGGAATGTTGACGTCTCACCAGGGACGTCGTACGTCTTAAAGAAACGACGGTATGGTATAATAAAAGAAGGTTAAGTTGACTCTGACACACACACATATATACATATACATGCGTATGGGCGTATAGTAAGTTAAGGAACGGATGCTTCGGGCTTCAGCCTTGGGCGACGAAAGAGAATGGACAAGTTCCAAAGGAGAACCAGGTACAGCACGTCTAGCGGACCGCCACATACATGTGCATATCCTAATAGGAGCCGGGCCCGCGAGCAGTTATATAGGGTAGGCCATGCCCGACTTAGCTGGGCGCTGCTCCTCAACTTACAAGAAACGTTAGGAGCCTCGCCGAACATAGCTACACCTAATCTTTTTCCAGACTCGTAGGTGACACGGGGCTTGCCAGCCAACCTGCCGATTATAGTCAAAAGGATCTCACCCAGCACCCTGGCCCTAGCCGCATCGGGGACTTCGCTGCCAGCCAGGCGAAACAGCCTCGTTCTGGTCCGCAGCGAAGATGATATACATCAGGCACGCTAGGCAAGGGCTCTATTTCCGAAGGATCTGGCGGGACCAGGGGGGATCGAGGGCCTGTTTCCAAAGTTGGCGACAGAGACAAAGTCCCGGAGCCGGGGCCAGGACTGTTGGTCCGCAGAACGTCCGTGGAAACGCCCTTCTCTCTGACAGCTTACCTTCCCTTAATTGCCCGATCCAATTTCCACGACGGCCACGCGGCCAATCAGGCGGCTTACCTGCCCACTGCGCCGCGAGTATACAGGTGCATGAAGCATCCTACTCTGCGCGCGCGGCGGGTTCAGACGACGATACGTCCCCGAATAGAAACCTGTGACGGATGCCCAGCATCGCGGGGTGCAGGGTGGACGTCTACGTAAGACCACACACACCTGGTCTGTAAATATATATGTATGTTGGACATCGCCTCCCAACAGTGTCCGGCGTAGAACTAGGAGAGGGGGGGGGGGGGGGGGGGGCAGAAGTAAAAACTGAGAGAAAAAAAAGTGAAATTTTAAATTAAAGTAAATAAAGAGCAGAGGATGCGGTGCGTTTCACCCCACGGTATAACATCACCAACCGGCACGTTCGCGAAGCTGCTTGGAGGGAAAACCGTGGTGAGATGCACATGCGCGATGTGTGCGACTTACACCAACGACGCCGGCTCCTCGCGATCCACCGCGGCCTCCTCGCTATGGGCTTAACACTGTCTCTCCGGCGCCCTTCAGCCTTCGTGGATCGTCATTCGACGCCTCAGCCATCTCAGATGCGGCGACTTACCTTGTCTTCGACCAGGCGGCATCTCGGCGGTACCCAGGGTCAAGCCGGAGGCCTAGGAGCTGTGGTACAACTTGGAGCGCAGCGCACATCGACGACGATCGCGCAAAGAACCCTCGTCCGCTTGCTGAGGAGCAGCAATCCCCTCAAGACAAACATATGCAGGCTGTTCTCTAGTAGAGAGATTTTTCTTCCTCTCCGCCGCCCTCTGCGACAGTTCGTTGGTAGGAAAAATGGACCGCGGGCGTGGGGGGGCGTGGCTACGGCAGCGACAGGTGCCTCCAACGTAGGGAGGTAAGTAATATGAGATAGAGAGATTGTCCGGAGGTAGGATCCGGCGGTGACCAAGAGAGGTCGGTCGCGCGGCGATCTAAAAAAAAAAAGAAGAATCATAATTTCCCGATCGCTGCCGCAGCCAGGCGTACCTCCGCACGGTACAGCAAGTGGATGTTTTACGTGCCAGAAAAATCGCACCTTCGCGGCACTGGCGACAAGTCTAGGGTCGCGGGCACTACGGCCAACATCCCGCACGCCTTCGTCGCCAACAGTACGTCGGCAAGCTCCTCGACGGCTCCCTCCCGCTCGCTGCGCCGATCCGCTGTGTGTGAGGATGCCTCCCAACAACAGCAACAACAGGGTCGATATTACTACTACTGGCACATGTGAGCGAAACCAGAGCCTCTAGCTATAGTAGAGAGAATAAAATAACTACTCCTACCATCGTACTCACTATATTTAGACGCGGCGAAGAGAGGCCTCTAGCACCAACAGCTGCTTCTAACAATACAGACCGTAGACAGCTCTCACCACCTACATAGTAGGAGAAAAGGGGGACCGGCCTACAGTCAGCGCGATGCGTCCTCGAAGAAGGGCGGCATCCGACGCACAGCAGTATATGCCTACCTCCCACCAGGTTAATTACCGACCTGGGTGCCTATCTAGAACCTGCCAGAGCCCGTCAGCGGTGTGGCTTGCAGGCGATTCTAGAAACCATTCGTCCGCGTCGCAGCAGGGTGCGGTCCCCTTAATAAGACTGCGGGCAGGAATCGTGGCTGGTGTTTTCCAGGCTGCTTGCTTACCTGCAACCACGGCGAGACAGCGAGAGAAAAAAAAAACCAGAGACGAAAACAAGGAGGGGCCAGACTCACACGTGATAGATAGGCATTATACCCAGGTATATTGATCGACGCCGGCATCGTAGCATTGTTGCGCCGGGTGTGAAGCACAGCAGCAGGCCGAATAGGAAGCCATAGCGACGGTGCCACTGCCAGCCACGTCTGGCACACCATCGCGCCCTTCGTCCCGCCCCTCGTCGGCCGGCCCTGAATGGATGGCAAAATCGGTGGTTCCTCGCTGCTGTGCAGCAGCAGGTCCCGACCCAGACGGCACCCTTGTTCCTGCAGATCCCGACTGTGCGCGCGCGCGCGACCCTCCATCGAGTCTATTACGACGGGCGTCCATCCAGCCCGTCTCGACGTGGTAGAACCCGCGTTCGTCGTCGTCTTCGTCGCTCTCGTCGTCGCCGCCCCCCCACGCGGATGGATTGTGAGGTCGGACAAGTAACTTGTCCGAAACCTCCCTGATGGCCGCCGCAATCCCACCACTCATCGAGACACGCGTGTCGACTTGGGCATATAGGCCTGTACGCATGCCCCAGCACGCACCGCTTACCTATGACAGCAGTGCACACGTAGTCGCTGCATAGGTGTGTGCGGGAATCCGAGGCGCCTCTCTTCTTCTTGTTCTTCTTCTTCTTCTTCCCCTTCTTCTCTTTCCTCCTCCTATTGCGTGCAACCTGGGTATTTGCCAGGGGGGTAGGGTAGGGTAGAGCAGAACGAACATGGTCCGGGGTATGGAGCTTCCAGAATCGGCAGCCTAGGAAACGAGCCCCCATCTCGCCAATCGCCCGCCTGCTCGCCCGCGCCCAACTGCCATCTTGAAACGGGGCCGTTTCAACGAAGACCAGTGAATCGGGATCGGCAAGAGGATGCACAGGGCGAGGGGAGGGCCATCCCCTTACGCGGTAGGTATGCCCTGGGGAGCAGGTCGAAATACCCACCTAACGAAACGGGGATGCGCCGCGTGCGCGCGCAGCGCCCATCAGCGCCCGAATCAGGCATATTTTCCTCGGGCGCGCTGCGGCAAACGTATACGCACGTACGCATGCACAGTGAGAGAAAGACGGAAGGAGATTGACTGGACGCCATCGCCGGTAAGGGCCGAGAGAGGAGGAGGAGGAAGGCAGAGGAAGAGAAAGAGAAGGGTGGCCGAAAGAAAAGATAGCGGACAGCACATGCTCGTGAACAGGGTTGCTTAACTACCTAGGTAGTAGCCGAAATGCGCCCAGGAGGATCTATCGCCGACATGGTCTCCCGTCGCGCTATGGCGAAGGGGCTATAAATGGCTGTAGAAGTGTGGGCCTCGACGAGGCGGTTTCTCTCGCTTCTCTCCTTCTCTCGGTCTCTCTCTCGCTGTCCCTCTCTTACTGTCTCTCTCTTGCCGCCTCCTCATCTTAACCCACCTAGGTACCTACGTCTCACCAGACGGGCCCAAAATCTCACGGCGATAAGCCACACACCGTGAAACAGTCTACAGGTAATATTATAGGCACTCATATCGGTGCCTGCTCCGGGTAGCTGGTGGGAGCGCGGCCTTTTTTCCTAGACGTCGACTATCACCGCCCACCCTTCCCCATGCTCGCTACTCGGGACTTGTGAGTTTGTCTTGGATTGCATGTGTAAATGGCCGGCCGCGTGCGTACTGCTATTACTATCGCAGAGTATTAAATCTACAGCGCGGCTCCAAGAGAAACCAAAAACCACGGGAGGGGGGGAGTCACGTAGAGAGACCAAGCAGTAGCCCAAACCCCATAAAGCTTCCTACCTAGATAGGTAGGTGTTAGCAAACTACTGCGCAGCGCCCCCGACGACGCGCCGCAGCACCCCGGGGCGGCGCGGGCACGAAAGCAATACCCAGGCTCCCGCCCACGTCGTCTTGTCGCAACGCCCGCGAGGCGGCTTGGGCGTCGTGCTCGGCCGCGAGGAGGGGTGCTGCGATGCTGCAGGGCAGCGAACACGTTGCCGAGACGGCGCTGCGCCTCCTCGTAGTATCTGGGCCAGGGCGTTGCGTTGCCGGCCGCATTAGACAACTCAGGTGTCCACCCCGAAAACGACACGTCGGGGGGAGGGGCGGGGAAAGGAAGTCCGTGGCTGCGCAGATCGCGAAGCTCGTGATACTCTCCGAGGTGGTAGATCACGGCGGGAATCTCTAATTATGTTTGTATCGCTTGCTGCTAGACGCAAAGGGGTTGTGGTCTGTTGTGGATGTATACGAAGTGTAAACTTGAGTACCTGGTAGTATTGATGACTCTCGAGTTTGAAGATCGGTTCGGTTTGCGGCTGCATCTTACTAGATATTGGACAATACGGCAAACAACGTCTTAGGAATCGAGCCAACTCCTGTTCGACCTGGTCCCGCCTTATCGAAGAGATCGATGCTGCCACGGGGCACGAAGGAACTGTTCTCCATGTACTACACAAGAGCCTCCAGCAACAGATACTCTACAGTAAATAAATTTAACAAGATGTCACACTCCCTCCCTTCAAGTATTATAGAGGCAAAATTTATACTCAGTATACTTGCGATCTTGGACATGGCATACTCAGTTATATTCTTCACTAGAGCCAACTGCAATACAGAATCTTTTTGGGCACGGCAACGCGAAGCATCGTCTACATTCATAAGCCCAAACTTTCCTAGGAATGTCCTGTAGAACGCTATATCAGACTATGTGGCCTGATGGGGAAGTGTAGGCGTCTATTGTACGCCCATGGTGCTGGCTACCCGAGCGGCCGAGGCGACAGAACCGGTTTTTGAGGCGGCGATGACCTATTACCACCTCGGAGAGCCGCTATTCGCGATTGTTGGACCAACTCAGAATCAAGCAAGATTCCCTCTGTAGAATCCTGAGTGGTGTGTAGTCTGGGTCTGCTACTCGCGCCGGGGCTGGCTGATGATCGGTAGATCCCGTATGAATGTCGTAAAGAAGATGGTAGCGATGTTATTGGGTTCTGTTGCGTTGTTTCTAGCCATTTTTCCGTGTCCAAGGAGTTCTTTGTTCTGTCTAGACGAGTGGCCTCAGCCTCGTTAAGCTCAGGAGGCCTATTGTAATATCGGTTTGGGCGAAATAGCTGATAACTCATCCGACTGGTCTATTCTGGGCTTGGGATTTTCCTGGGCACTTCGCGTTAGACTAGAATATTCTCTGGGGTCCCAAATTAGTACCGTTTAGGCAGGACTTACTGCGGTGAAGATAAGGCTCGTACACTTCATAGTAGATGAGTCGTTTTGGTTGACTGACTATGTTTGCGTGATGCCGACTGTGCCTCTGGCCCAGGAATGAATACCCCCCGTTCACGCTTAGGGGAAGGGATGGGAGCAGCGGCCAACCCACGCTGTCGCGATCCATTGATGAGGTAATAGGAGATGATAATTTAACGCTAAAGGCAGAAGTACGACAGTGCCCAAGGGCTTTCCTGTCAACGTCACTTGACTGACGTATTGTTGAATAACGACCTCTGAAGTTAGGCAGGCACGCAACGTACTAATCATGGGATGTGACAACCCAGGGGGGCACTTGCCAATACCCACGCCTGCCACCTCCTGGGGTAACGCCCAAACAACGAGGTTGTCGATCCAAAAGCACAGGAGTTCCGGTCTGGCGCGTAACCTAGCATGTGGCTATTACCGCTCTCGGAGTCTCACTGACGCCGCAAGTGTCCAACGTTAGGATGGAGATAACTAGCCGCATTGCATCTAAGCGTTGTTCGCACGTCTAGAAGAGATAGCGAGAAGCCTGGGCGTTAATACCTAATATTCCGGTCAAGTCAAGCTGGTTCGACGTCGTCGGAATCCACATAATGGCCCTACGAAGAAACCGGCCCTCTCTTCCAAACCAACGACATACGCAACCTACCAAGACAACTGGCTTTTCTTTAAACAAGTTACCTCATAAATATCATTAGGTTACCAAGACGTCATCGGTAACATCTCTGTCTTTCAATGCTACTATCCCTTTAGACCCTGCTGCGAGTTGTCCTTCGATCTAAAAGCTGCTCCCGACAGTAATTAGGCTAAGTGCGTAAATGTATCGGCTAGTCATTTAGTTGCCCACGCAGTCAGGGAAGACTTCAAATGGAGTTGCACTGGCATGGCTTCGAACCGCTCTTGATTTCTAGCCAGTTACCTATAATTGAACTGCCAGACCGACCATCCTGAATAAGAGTTGCGCCTAAGAGAAATGTCCAAATACCTACTACCTACTTAATTAATCGAGCTCGCCACACCAGCTGGTGGATTTGAGTTTTCCACTACTCGCACTAGTTACGACCTTCTAATTTAAAAGGCTTTGAAGCCTTTAAGGGTGATAGGCTTGCATCTCTGAAATTGTCTTTGGAGTTGAAATCGGAAGATGGTCGTCACACGAAACGGACCCTTCCGAGCTTATCGTAGGGCGCTCTAGTACCTAGGTACCTATGTGATTGGTAGGTACATCAGCTGCTCCCAGACCAGGCGCAGCGTTACCTGGCGAATTTCTGCGTGTGGTCGGCTTCAGCCCGTTGTCGGGACTTGTTCGCATGAACAATTGCGGGTGCCCCAATATGTGCTGGTAGCTCAATTCCGACGTCAAGAGCCGAAGCTGGATGCTAATTATCGGTTCGTTAGCTGAGGTTGCGCATGCGATGCAAGGAGAACTACGGAGTACGGTGCTTTGCGAGCCCCGCAAACACCCGGGTGACGATCCTCGCAACGTTATCGGCGCCCACGCGTTGCTGCCTGATCTTGGTGCACCGTGCAGGCTCGGGTTGGCTGTTACATTTGCACCCGAGACGTTGGGACAAAGCGATCATATCGGTACGCTCGGTTTTTTTTTTTTTTGAAGTTCTAACGCGCATTAGAATACGTTCTCCTGACGAATGGGTAGGCTGTAAATAAAGCATTCGCGAGGCAAGCATGTTGTTTCGTTCCCCAGCTCTCTTCCCGTCGTCAATTTCCTGTCGACTTCGCTGTGGGACCGGGGATGGGCGCCATTCGAGGTGTGCACACCGGCGCCGGCCGGCTGCGCAGCGCCCTAGATGGCGACTCCAGGGATTCTTGCAGTGGCAGTGTCGTATCATCTCGTCGACACGTGTAATACGATGGCCAAGCTCCTAGATTTTCAGCAGAACACACAAAGGCCTGCACCATTCAAGAATTCGGACCAGGAGGTGCTTATCGGCGGAGGTAGTTGTTCGATTTATTGGCTAGCAAATTATCGCTCGACGCGCAATTGGGCGTGCCGACCGTTAGAATCGAAGGGACCGACCGACCGACCGACCTTTGTCAGCAAGAATCAAGGGGCGCGCCTGGGTAGGTTATCAACATACCACACCTAGGGACAACCAAAAAAGGCCCTATTTACGGGGGCGAGGGTATTTTAGCATCCCATCCCACGACACTCGGCGGTGGCCAGGAGACACTAGGCACAATTCGACCCGTGAGACTTTTTTCTTCTCCTAGCTTCGATCGTATGTTTCTGCCGACCACCGATGTTTCGTCCTCGACGCTCGACATACCTATGTTCGGGTGGCTGCTATTCGGGCCGCAAGCCTTTCATGGTTTTCGCAGGCAAAAAGACCCAAGCCAGCTCAGAGGTAGATGCCGCAGGTCTCCTGGTGTTCCGGCTCAGGGTCGGGGGTGCGCATGTTCATAAAGCCCAATTCAAATAGGCGTAGACCCGGCTATGTTAACCTAGAGAACCGGTGCCACCTCGTCGGATCATGAAAAATCGACCGACAGCTGCAGTGGAGCATCCGCATCGCGCGCAAGGATGGGAAAGCCGGATGGGATTGTCGAAGCTAAGGAGCGCAAGGCAGTGCGGCCGTCGATCTAGAACACAGACCCCCAAATCCGCGGGTTCTGCGGACTCGATGCGCATGGGAAAGGGGAGCACAACTAATCTAAGACCGTATAGGTCGCATAGGTAGGCACATCGCCAAGTAGATCGGCGAGGACGGTGATCGGAGATGTAGGCGTATGCATGCAATTGGAGGTTGTCGTCGCGAGAGCGCTGTACGGCGAAAGAGACATGGGTCAGGGGGCCGAGCTACCTTAGCCCAAGGAATGTAGGACGAGAATGGCACGGCGCCTCCAAGAGGCATAAACTAAGCCGGATGGAAATCGGCACGCATAAGAGGGAGAAATAGGTACGACTCCGTATACGACGGTAACGGCGGGGTTTTTTCTCTGGAATGGGCGACGCAGCAGTTGGAGGCCAAAGGCATGACCAGAATACATGACGTAAACCGGGTACCTACCAGGTAGATGCTACGTAGTACCTAAGGGAGATACCTGTACCTAGTAGTCGGCGAGATCAGCCCACCGTCACTTCATAGCCGGCCGGCGCTCCCAACCTGAGGTCCCTGATTAGTAGGAGACGGACTGGTTGAGTTGAAAGATACATATACGGTACATACATACAGTGAACGCTTGGTTAGGACGGATTTCCGCACCACACCCATACCGCGAATTATCATCGGTACCTAATATTGAACCTTGAAGGTGTACGTAAAGTGCTTGCAGAGCACTAGGTACCTCTAGCGAAGGGGCCTCTCGCTGGTTGGAAGACCTCGCTTTCTACGCAGCTACCCAAAAGCCCCGGAGACTATGCTCCTGTCCGGAAGTGGGACGGGGGGATTACGTGCCTTGCCTATCGATGGTAGGCCGTCGTGAGGTCTACAACTCCCAAGTAGGGGGAGGGGCAGGGAGGGGGAAGTGAGAATGTACCTATCTATCCTCGCTGTTACGTGGTATCGGCCGGTACCTACCCCTCCTCGCCCCCCTCCGCCCCTCCATGCGTCCCTTCGTGGGCCCCTCCGTCCAGCCCTCATCACCGTCCACCTCTCAACCTCTCTCTCGTCTCTCTCTCTCCGCTTTCCGCACGCGTCGTATCGAGGCCCGGCCGACCCGTCAGCCTCCCTCTCTCTTCTCGCCCCATGCCGTTTCTCAGCACCGTCCCACGCCCACCTCCACGCCGCCCAGAACGCGCGCCATCCCATCGTCTGTCAGGTTATGACCACGCTATACTGTCATAGTGGCCGCATTACCCGCGGCGCAAAGCTTCGCTTCCCACCGGAAGTCCAATGACAACGACCACATGCGTTCACCTACGCGGTACTCTTCACATGAATGGTCCGAAATGCGGATTGGCAGAACCTGGAATCCGGTTCGCCCCAGATGTCACCCTGGTCGAGTCAGCGTAGTCCCAGGTCGAGACCGCTCCGAGTAGCCCTCTTGTATAAGTAATGTAGCCACCACCACCACCACCAAACCCCCATCACACACACCACATCGTCATTACACCCAAAGCAACACCCCAACCCGCAGCGATACGATACTCCCTAGCTGGTCACAGCAACGACAGACCCTCCCCATACTTCTATATAATTTTGCACCACCAGTCGAGAGACGGGGATCGCTCAACCCGAGACTCGAGTTTCCGTAATATACCTAGAGGAACAAATTTAACAGCTCCGTTCCTCCAACACCAACGCTAAGCTTGGCCCGAACCCCCGTAGCGAGATATGGCCGACAACCAGCAAGCCGAGATCGAGGCGATCCGGCCGTTCGGTAAGGCCCGCTCTACCGTCAAGGGTGAGCCCTTATCGGAGGAGGAGATCAAGCTATACAATGACTTCTTCAAGGCTAGCTTGTATCTCAGCGTCGGCATGATCTACCTCAAGCAGAACCCTCTGCTGAGAGAACCCTTGAAGGTTGAGCATATCAAGGGCCGTCAACTGGGCCACTTCGGATCTGCTCCCGGCCAGATCTTCACCTACATGCACTTCAACCGGTTGATCAAGAAGTATGACCTTGACGCTCTCTTCGTCTCCGGCCCGGGGCACGGCGCTCCCGCCGTCATCTCCCAGGCTTATCTCGAGGGCACCTACTCCGAGGTCTACCCCCAGAAAACCGAAGACCCCGCTGGTCTGCAGATATTTTTCAAGCAGTTCAGCTTCCCCGGCGGCATCGGGTCTCACGCGACCCCGGAGACCCCCGGTAGTCTCCACGAGGGCGGCGAGCTGGGATATTCCGTTTCGCACGCCTTCGGCACCGTTTTTGACAACCCCAACCTGATCACGGTGACCATGGTCGGCGATGGCGAGGCCGAGACTGGTCCGCTGGCCGCGGCCTGGCACAGCACCAAATTCCTGAACCCCATCTGCGACGGCGCGGTGCTCCCCGTGCTACATCTCAACGGCTACAAGATCAACAACCCGACCGTGCTCGCCCGCATCAGCCACAAGGAGCTGGAGCAGCTATTCTTGGGCTACGGCTGGCAGCCGTACTTCGTCGAAGGCGACGAGATTGAGTCGATGCATCAGGCCATGGCTGCCACCCTCGAACACTGTGTTCAGGAAATCCGGAAGTTCCAGAAAGAGGCTCGCGATTCCGGCAAGCCGTTCCGCCCGCGGTGGCCCATGATTGTCCTCCGTACGCCCAAGGGTTGGACGGCGCCGCGTAAGGTAAACGGCCATTACCTATCTGGGTTCTGGCGTTCCCACCAAGTGCCTATCACCGGCACCACGACGAACCCGGCTGAGCTCAAGCTTCTCGAGGAATGGATGCGCGCGTATGAGCCCGAACGCATCTTCGGAGAGGAGGGTAGGATCTCAGATGAGTTGAAGGCGCTATGTCCCACAGGCAACAGGCGCATGAGTGCAAATCCCGTTGCCAACGGCGGGGTGCTCTCAAAGCCGCTAGTGATGCCTGACTTCCGAGACTACGCTATCAACGTGGTAAATTCCGGCGCAACTGTTGATGCTAGCATGGCGAACTTCGCTAAGTTCCTTCGCGACATCATTCGAAACAACCCCCACAACTTCCGCTTGATGGGTCCCGACGAGACCGAGTCCAACAAGCTGGCTGCCGTGTACGAGGCTGGAAAGAAGGTATGGTTGGGCGATTACTTTGAAGAAGACGGAGACGGTGGCAATCTATCCCCCTTTGGAAGGGTCATGGAGATTCTGTCTGAGCATACTTGCGAGGGTTGGCTGGAAGGCTATATCCTTAGCGGCCGACACGGCATGCTGAACAGCTACGAGCCATTTATTCATGTCATCGACTCCATGGTTAACCAGGTATGTACAACGACGTCTACCCAACTACGGTGATTTGTAGATGTTGACACCCGCCATAGCACTGCAAATGGCTTGAGAAGTCCCTCGAGGTCGAGTGGCGTGTGAAAGTACCGTCTCTCAACATCCTCTTGACTGCCGTTGTCTGGAGGCAGGACCACAACGGCTTCACGCACCAAGACCCTGGTTTCTTGGATGTAATTTGCAACAAGAGCCCGGAGGTTGTCCGCATCTACCTCCCACCCGATGGGAACTGCCTCCTCTCAGGTTAGTCTCACAACCTTTACGAAAGCGGCTCCAAACATTTACTGACGTTGGCGTATAGTCATGGACCATTGCTTCCGGTCGCAGAACTACGTCAACGTGGTAGTCGCAGACAAGCAGCCTCACATCCAGTACCTCACAATGGAGCAAGCTATCGAGCACTGCACCAAGGGAATCGGCATCTGGCCTCAATTCTCTACAGATGCGCTCGAGGAGCCCGATATCGTCATGGCCAGCTGCGGCGATGTTTCGACAAACGAGTCACTCGCCGCCATAGACCTCATGCTCCAGCTTTTCCCCGAACTCAAAATCCGCTGCGTCAACGTCGTCGACCTTTTCAAACTAATCCACCACACAGACCACCCGCACGGCATCACGGACAAAGAATGGGTTGCCCTGTTCACGGCAAATAAACCCATCATATTCAACTTCCACTCGTACCCTTGGCTGGTCCACCGCTTGACATACAAGCGACCCGGCAACGGGAACTTGCACGTCAGAGGTGAGAGACACCCTGCTTTCTTTCCTACCACCCCCTGAGCCAGACCGCCCCAAAGGAATACACTAACCATTTATACATCGTACAGGCTACAAGGAGAAGGGCAACATCGACACGCCGCTGGAGCTGGCCATCCGCAACCAGACGGACCGCTTCAGCCTAGCGATGGACGCCATCGACCGCATGCCGCACCTCGGCAACCGCGGCGCCGCAGCGCGCGACGCCCTAAGGAACCAGCAGATTGCTGCTTCCAATTATTCGTTTGAGCACGGCGTCGATCCTAAGGCTCTGAGCGACTGGACCTTCCCCCAAGACGGCATCAGGGAGAGGATGGAGAGGCTCAGGGTTACCTGGTAATGCAAGCCGCTGTTGGTTGCACTAGACGGAATTGACCTCGTATAGAGGTTTCCTTACTACAGACTGGTAGGATGGGACTGCAAATGTAAACTCGAAATAGACGAAAAGACGCGAAAGGCTTAAGACATCGGTAATGAGGGAAACGGGAAGGGGGTTATTGAGGCTATGGGTTTCACGAACGGTTTTCGGGGCGGTTTTTTCCTCTCAGTTTTAATGTACCACTGATGTCACGATACGAATGGGGAATTTCGCAGTGCAAATTAATCGAAGATTTATGAGACATCACACCTCGTTTCTCTCTGTGTATGTCTGTGTCAAATATGACAGCTCCAAGCACGCATGGCGTTTAATGAGTAAGAGTCTGGCTGCATAGTAATATTATCTATACAAACCATTCCCTTTCCCCCCCTGTAAACTGCAACGCTTAGATACCTAAGCGACTCGAGGCTTACATAGCTTCTAACATCAACTTTCTTTCTTTTCCTCTGACCGCTCATATTTGATGAATCAGTAGGCTGCTGTCGACTCTTGATTTTGTCATCAAAGCTATGCAAATTGGAACCATTTGGTGCCGATAGGTAGGTGCGCTCGGAATGTGCGTATTCCATACCTGTTATAATATTACGCCAGAGACCAAACTGGCTATAGAGCTACGGGAGTTTCAACATAGGATTTGCCTTCAAGGCTTTCTTTTGCGTCCGCACATCTCCTAGCCCATTCGTTGCTCGGTTACCGGAATTCTGGTGACCCAGCTGTTTTGTATTGCCTCCCCTCGTCATAACAAACGTACTAAGCATTGGGCTCAGCTGGGAGTTAAACGGGGTCAATCCACCCTCAGCTATATTTCGGTTTTAAGGTGGCTGGCTTTTCTCTCGTCAAATGCTAGGCGAGACGCTCCTCGTCGAGTTCCCCTCTGATAGGGGCGATGCGATGTGACCCTGCATGTTAACCGAATGGCTTTCGAGGGATTTTTTTCGTCTACCTGAAATGCGAATTCGCCGACCCTCTTTGAATGGCGGGCAAGATTTCTTGTGATATGTACTGCGTGCGTGTGTGTGTCTGATAGGTGATTTCCTCGTACCTAGATTGGAGCAGGAGATTCTCATTAGGATAGGGTATGGAGTCGTATTCGAAATGTGACCTTCCATCCTGAAGGGATTCCCACAGAACAGTAATCATAATAGCATGTTTATATATATATACACAGATATATATATATATATGAATATATATATATATATAAGTATGAGCCGTTCGAAGTTCAGCAGCAACTATCGTCGCTCCGAATCCATCACACCACTCGCTGCTAGGAAACTCTGGGAAATCGCTATAAATATAGTCTGCTGCTATCCTTCTTCCCGGCCCCTCCGAGCTCGCCAACGTCGACCTCCTGGGCCATCCATCCGAGCCTCGGCAATTGGCCAAGGTTCAAGCAGAGGTATGCATGCTGGATGACGACATGGGAGGCAGTTACCGACTGACATTCCGTGGGTATAATCGGCGCGAGTTGCTCTCACCACGTCGAAATGTGCGAGGAAGTGTGGAGACGGTGGACCTGCGGGCACTTGACGTTCGCGAGCTACTATGCGTGCGAGGACTGGAGCGAGGCGAATCCGGGGGAGAACGAGACCGGGTGCGAGGACTGTGAGAATAATCAGGGCGTAGTTCACGCGACGGAAGAGATGGACGGGAGATGTGACGAGTGCGCTCATTTGCCAACTCCTCCTGATTCCGAAGGATAGGCTGACTCCGGTGGGGTGCCGGGGGGAGAACCTGGGGATTGGACGAGCGCACAGGTCACAACTTGGGTTAAGGGGTGGTAATACATTCGTGGTAATTCGAGCGATGATCCACGGAATTCATTCTAATAAGCGATTCAAATCTGGCCTCACGGCAAACCCCCCAGGACTTATAACTTGCCCGCCCCCCCCCGAGAAAGCTGAGCAGCCCAAAATATGTTAGACCAGTACCCGCCACCGCCGAATTCCCCGCTGCGCGTCGTGCTCCAGACCAAAACCCACCTCGTCCCCGGCGACGAGTTCAGCGAGCGATGTAGGAACATGAAAAACCTCATCTGCCGGCACCTGTGGGATCGGGACTTCGACCACCGCCGGGACCGCTGGAGCTCGCACCTCGCCAACTTCGGCTATGACAATCGCACGTGCTACTTCCTCCTCGACCACGGCCAGTGCACCGGTGGCGAGGCTGCCGTCCCCGTCCTGTGGTTCAAATGGACCGGTACATCGTTGTAAGTGAGAGAGAAAAAAAAAAAAAAGCCCGGGGCCCGGACGTTTTTTATAAGTGGCCGCCGGGCGTTGCCGCCGCCGCCGCCGTGCTCGTTGCTGACTGACCCCTCCCTTCCCCCCCTTCCCCCGCGCGCAGTGTCGCCGTCCAGAAGCCGCTGCCGCACCGGTTCCGCCTCGAGCTGGAGCGCCGCCCCTTTTACCAGGCCCGCCAGCCCCCGCCAGCCACCAAGAGGAGCCGCGAGCCGCTAGACGCCGCCACCCGCCGCCAGATCATCCGCTCGCGCCTGCGGTCCAACATGAGAATCCCCGAGACCGACGTCGAGTTCCTCCGGAACCCCGAGCAGGCCCGGCTGCTCAAGGAAGAGATCGACCCCAGGTTCTGGGAGCGCGTCGACGCTCTCTTGGAACCATAGCAACGGAGAGGAGAGAGGAGACAGGCTGATAGAGGGCCCGCCGGCCCGTGTTATCCCGGCGGAGCAGGAGGCTGGCGTGGGTAGAGTAAGATAGCGTAAGTGCTGGGTGCAAGGTGGCGTTTAAATGTCCTTTGTTGCTATACCAGAACGTATGTGGAGTTTTTACGAATATATTTATCCATACATATATATATACATCATGTATACACATCCCATGTTTCATAGTATCATTCTACTACATGTTCCTGGGCGACTCCCCAGCCGCTGAGGCTGTCATGGATTCATCAAGCTCAACAACGGCCACCTTTACACACGTCGCCAAAATGAGCGTTTCGGCCTATTATTGGTGGTATTATTCCTGACAACGTCAGTGCCAACGTCCTCCGCATGAGCCACCTTGCCGTTGGTCCGAATTCTCCATTTTCCCATCTAAAATTATGATCATGCTGGAATGCTTCTTGCTTTTTTTTGATAGTTGGGATATGCCTCTCTCGGGACCTTACGTCTTTCAGAACCCACCGGCAATCGAAAGCATCTGTGCTTGGCGCACGCCCGTGCCCGCGGCCTATCGGCTGGCGCCCATCCGAGAAACATTCCGGCGAGAGCTGTTGGCCTGTCTCGCTAGTAGAAACCTGCCCTCTCGGAAAGGCCGTTCCACGCGATCCGCTGCGGACGGAAAAGTGCCCATTGGCAAATTTCCTGGCACCGCACAACGGGTGCGGTACAGACACGCTGCAGGCACACACCACACATGACAATACACATGTGATGCCCAAGTACCCCATACCCAGCCTGCGTAAGACGCGGACGAGCGTCACCATAAGCGGGACCTTGCCAGGGGGGGGGGGGGCTTTTCACCGCCCCCGTCATAGCTCCCGGGGCTCTGGCCCAAGTCGACCATACCAACGCTACCAGAGCCTTGGGCAGGCCGAGCTTTTTCCCGTTTCACTAGGACCCAAGAACGGCACGACGAATGCATGCACCGATTGGTTCCGAGGAAAGGGGGGGGTGATCTAAAAATACTCGGCTTCCCCGGCGTTGTGGTGCGCCCCGGAAACGTGCGTGACCCAGGGCGGCGGGGAAGTGTGACGCTGTTCCGAGTGTAACGGGAAAGCTGTAACGAGGTGGACGGCGCTACAACCACCCCAGCGGGTGCGCCGAGAGAAGTGGCGGACACGGGAGCAGGGCGAGGCGTTACTACTTCGACACACACTATCGTCGCCGAGGCGATAGATGAGGTTACCTACACAACGCAAAGTGTATGTCACCATGCGACGATCGCCGCCTAGGAGAGGGATTAATTGGCGGGCTCGCGCGTCGACCGATCGATTAATTAATTGATTGAACGGTGAGGATCCCGTGCTACCTCTCCGTCCATACCACCCGGTCGTCCGCACTATTGGCAGACGAACCAACTGCGCGGCCAATTTCATTTGCCAAGTCGTATAGTCGCTGTTCTGCGGTTTGGCCTCTCCGTCCGTAGGCTTGGAATGGACGGTGATCAGCTGATTGCCGTCGTTCGGCGTTCGATCCTGGCGAGGATCGACCAGGATCGATCTGACACTTCCCCAGACTGTAACCATGGACGAATACAGTTATTTCCAGCGCCGCGACGCGTCGTGATAGGCTGGCGCTGGGAGGCGGCCAAGGGGTAGTGGCATGGGCTTCTCTGGCTTTCTGACCGCCGCTACGTAGGTATAAGACTCTCCCTCTCTCTCGCCGTTTGCGCAATCGCCCCCGCGACTCTCAGTTGTTGGACGGTCGAAAGAGCCCGATTGGCTGGCGACGGCCAGGGGTCACGCCGCGCTGCACTGCTTATTCGCATCCCTACCCCATCCGTGCCCCGGTCGCGCATGGGTGCCAAAAAAGCTTTGCTCGACGATCATCGGCTGCAGATTCGAACGCTTGCGGCTCGTCTCACCCGGTGATGGGTCGGTTTATCGGGGTGAAAAGATTGGCGCTGCCGCGAAGGAAACCAATAGTTCCATGCTCGCCGCGGGAGTCGAGTAAGCCATGCCCAGACGAGCGCGCGTGCTCGAGCGTGGGTTAGGCATTCGCCGTTCCAGGATACGTCTGAAGAACACCGTGCGCAGAACGAACGTGCCCGGGAATGTAGGCCCGAAGAAGGTACCCTTGTTGTTTCCCTGCCCCTATCATTTACGCTATAACTACCTTCCGAAATTGTGAGCTGGTTGCTCCTAAGACCGTATAGTTGTTGTGTCTCGACCCGACGAGTCCGTCCTTAGTTCTGTGGGTGCCGGGGGGGGAGCAACGGCTATGTCACATCGAGTCGTAATCTAAGGCCACGCAGTACATCGACCCCTGACTGATATCGTCACCGGTGGGAGCGTCACGGCGTCCTCCCCTACGGCTACCGGTGTAGGAGGTCGCCGACAACTTCGGCGGCGTGTTCGTCTCCAACGGCAGTGGCGACACTCCACGTTGCCAGCCCAGTGCCAAGACACGGGAGCAACTTGGTCGTCGACCGGTGCGAGTCGGTGGGTTGGGGCAGGCCGAGTTAGGCGCTCGGAGAAACCATGGTAGCAGTTGTGGCGCCGCGGGCGGGTGGTAACATATCGGGTATGAGAAGGGGAAGTCGACGAAGGGCAGGTTTAAAATTGGCTGACAGGGGCGTGAACCATTTTCCAGGACCGCGTCGGTCTGTTACACTGCAGCGTGTATACGTACGAGCCGCGACGACGAAATCTGACCTATACGATTTCGTACACAGTATCAACTCGTGCGCCGACACCGAAGACGGGATCCGAAATTCGAATGCTACGTAAGAATCATCATTGGTTATACTTTGCGAAGCGGATCGAACGCGACAGAATGCTTCGAGGCCCCCGGACCTGCTACCTCGTGTAAGTATTAGCCTCCGAACGCTAGGTGCCATGGGCTCCCGTCCCGCGCCGTTAGCCTCGTCAGGGTCCCATGCTCAGCATCTGTTTCATTTCAAGACACGAAGGTTGGGATCCTACCTGCGCTTGGAGAAGCTGACGGTCAATCCTCTGCCGAGAGGGGGATACTCTCTAGTATTATGTGTTGGGCCGTCAGGGGGGGCGCAGCGTCAAGGCACCGTATCCGGCGGATTGCATGACGTCTCGGCAGCCGTGCGGGTGTAAGTCTATCGCTCGCGCCACTAGCGAGCGGGGGGCGGTGGCTTACCAGAACCAGGCCGTTGGAGCAACTCGTCTCTTTTCCCTCTGCCTACTGTTTCCGTACTCATAGACACTCGGGCTGGACGAGGATGACGTGGACGTTGCTTCGGGGGTGGGTAGGAAGGAGGACGATATCTGCTTATCAAGCTCGGAAATTTGGTTCCGCCCGGGACCGGACACGGCGGGATTTCGGGACCAATCAGGCGGCTCACTGGCAGTCTCTTAACCGCATTCGGCCATTACCTGGTTATGCGGGGAGGCCACTAGCCACATCCCGTCGTTCACTAGCCACGATACACGAGCCACGAGCCACCGCAACCCAAATCCTAACTTCGCGTAACTCAGGAGTGGGGACTGAACTTCTGATAGCTTCCTTCTCAATAAGCTAGACCACCCCTCTGCGAGCTACCCCTTCGCGAGCGGGTATTTTATATAGGTTTACATATAAAGGATTTATCTCTATAAAAAGCCGGGAAAAGATCAAAAAATCTGAAATTTACTTATGTAATTAATTAACTGAATTAAATTAATATATGAATGTTTCGAAAATTTTATTTAATAATATAAAAAGTTATATTGAACAGGAGCAGCGTGGGCACGCTAACGGAGGCACGAAACAAGGACTGCCTAACTGCTAACAACTAGCCTAGTATCGATTAACCTAAGATCATAGCTATAAATAGCTATAATCGGTTAATCGGCTAGCTAAAAACGGCAGCTGGGAAAGGAAAAAAAGAAAGAGAGAAAGAGGGACTAGAAACGGGTAACGAGGATAGCTAGAAAGGTATGGTAAGAAACGAGTAAATAGCTGCAGGTCGTAATAGCTATAGGCCTAAGTCTAACTAATGAAAATATAAGTACGCGACCCATATAAATAGACATCGAAAAGGCTACGTAGCCTAGATCCACCGCACTACTATAGCCTCCCTAGTTCAATTGATCCGTAAGGAGTAATTAAACTCCCAATATAATAGGTACGGTAGGTCTCGTTCCTATTCAACCTAATCCTGATCCCGATTAACCCTAATTAACTAAAAGCTAGCCAGTTTAATTAAAGGCTAATATAATAAGTTAGGTAGGTTAACTAGGAACGATTGCAATAGCAATAAGTAGGTAGTAGAGTAGGTAACTACAACTGTGCCTAACTATGCCTAAACCTAATCAATCTCGAACCTATTCAATCGCTGCTAACTAGGAGCTAAGCTAGTTTAATTAACGATTAATAGGAAATAGGAAAGATCTGATAATAAGAACTAGGCTGGTGGAGCTATAACCTATAAACTAACCTAATTAACCTATTCCTAATTAACCCTAATTAATTAAGAGCGAGCCAGCTCCATTAAGGCTATTAAGAAATAACAGTGATTAATAAGAAAATAGGAACTATAACGGGGCAGGTAAAACAAGCGTAGCTCCTGTGAGAAACAAAGAAATAATCCCATACGATGCAACGTAATCTCCGTCCTTCTCGTTCATAGCTATTGCCGATCCTTTTTAACTAATTCCTAATCCTATAAACTAATTGATATATCCTATTTAATGCCCGTTTCTATAACTCGTTTCTAGTAACCGTTCCTATATTCGTCCGGCAGCATCTACCAGGCTTCCCTTAACCCTCGATCCCTCCCCTGTACGTGATTCTAGGGGCTCTCTAGGCTTTTCCTACTAACCACATATCGATAAGGGCGACAAGAGGAGTCTTTAGATAATCCTAACTATTCTGTAACTATTTCTAGGCTGTCTTATTTAATATCGTATCTATCTCGTATCGCAGTATCGTCTATATAGGTCTTCGCGTTAATCGGTAGGTCCCCGATCAGGTTCGTAGGTATAAGGTCTATCGGTATCTTCTAAGGGCATCGTAGTACCTATCGGTTGGAGAGGAGAAACCTCCCTAGGTACCGTAACTAGTAAACAGGAGCAGCGTAGGCACGCTAACGGAGGCACGAAAAGGGCTACCTAACTGCTAATAACTAGCCCAGTA